ATACTTTTCTGGTCATTTTTACGGCAGCTATATTTCCATTTCAGGGCCACACTGAGCCCACTTCACCTTTTGGTGAAGTGGGCTCCCTGCTAAAATATTGTGATTGTTATCATTATTTTAAATACCCTGTTTTACATTCTCATAAGACAAACAATACATAGGATTTAATAGGCATCTTAATATTATAACAGGTGTGCAATATTGTTGTACCCAAGTCACACAAAACCACATGTCAACAACATGACAAACCAGACCATTTTTTGAAAAAACATTGCAGCCAGCCATTCTTATCTACAAATCCCTCCAACCAGCGACAAGCTATATCACAAAAAGCTACATGTGGCAACCTCAACTTTTCCATTTATGGTTATAACTTATTTTAAAATAATATTTTTAAAGCTACTATTTAACTCTTCTATCAATAATAGATAGCCATCAACAATAGATATGACCATGTGATGGTGACCAACTCTAAAGCTTGTAGGCTATTTCAGTCTGCATAGTACACCATTAAAATATGTTTTCTTGTAAATTAGTTCAATTTTTACTTTTTTCCCAATTAAATGTTGTATTACTTTTCACATTGTTATTTACTTGTAAACAGCGTACTATAAAATGTTGACTTTTGACTTCCAAAACCTTTTAAAGGTACATGTTCACAATTAGTCACTGTTGCACCTATCATTCCTTTTCAAAGGGACAGTAAAGAGAGGTTGCCATGCAGATTAAGAAATCATCATTCCCACTTTTAGGCTTGTGTTTCTTTATTGGGCACATTCCCAAAATTTTATCAAATACTCCAGACAAACACAGACCAGACAGAGACATAAGCTTCTTATTGCCATAAAATATATGGTTTGTTTTGGTCTTTTTGTTATTCCCATTTTCTTCTGTTTTAATTTTGCAGTTATTTCCATGTAAAGGTAGTTAGCTGGAATTGCCTACTTGTAGACATTTGCTTCATTAGACTGCAGCACTTAACCGAGAAATGGACCAAAAAGACTTACTACATAACATGCACTAAATAACTTGAAACCCACTACATGACATGCAGCATCTGGTGCCACAAAATTCAACACCCGAAATCCAAACTCCTTCCAACACCTGAAGTGGCACCTACCCATGCCAGTGCTATCATCCATGTCTACACAAAGTCTACAAACTGGAAGGTGAAATATGCACCAAACCCATTCACCAAACAAAAGATTACCACACCTCATCCACAAACAACCAATGTGTATTTCAATATAATAGTTGATTTTGGTTTACCTAATCTTAATTGACATGTTTTTGTTCATGAGCATTTGGATTATGTGGTGCACATTTGATCATATGCATATGGTAATTTGTGCATTACAAGCCCTAACTCATCCTTATGTTGTTATTATTAATCATTAACTTTTTTAATAACCTACACTAAAACCTCCTTCTTACCTGTTTCTGCATTTACAGCCGGAGGAAGTTGACCATTGTCATCTTTTCTGCATGTAAAGTAAAATCGTGTAGCAAATGGGAGAGTTCAACATGAAAATATGAGATTTTACTATTTGACCTGAATTTATTTCGCAGTGAAAAGTTTTCTTCCCTATATGTTAGAAACTAAATAATTAAACAATGCTGCCTTCAGTTCAAAACCTAAAAAGAAAAGAGGAGACAAGTCTCTTTGCCAGTTGTAATCAAATCAAAACATATACTGGACAGTGCAATTGATTGTCCACCCAAACACCTGAGCTGGAGAGAAGGAAGATACATTGTTCAATATATTTATTGCAGTAACTTTGTCGTTATTGTGTATTTGATATTGTAATATTATGCAGGGAACAGCTTTGTGTCAGATTGTATATACATTTCTGGCCCAGACCATTGCATTCAATGAAAATGAAAGAAGAGCTATGAAAAAGGTGATATAACAAATTTTACCTACCAAAGTTTTATTCCCAAGGTAGATGTCTTGAGTCTCCACATCTTCTATTATATATATAGGGGGGCAGGGTTTAGGTATCACATCATGGCTCAAAAATGTCTGATGCTGATAGGAATTGGTCAGATAATAATCGAGCATTAATTCTGTTTTGAAAAAAAATAAACAGGTCAGCCAGCTTCATGAGGAGAGAAATTTGCCATGCCTGAACACACTTACAATTAAAAAAAATTATAATAATGATAATTTTGCACCACACTCAAAGAATGATTTAACCAACAAAACCAATAAAAACCAATATAATTTGAAACTACTTAACTCACAGAGGCAATAGTATTTGCAGGAGTTCTGCGCACCGGTGGGGGAGCAGATGGCCATGCAGATTTAGGAGTTGTGGAGTAGGAACAATTGCATGAAGAAATTTCAAAACGTTCACTTCGAGAAAACGAGAAAACTAACCCCACATCAACCAGGAAAATGAACCCACTAGTGAATGTATTCAGTGCAGTCGCTCTGGCACGTCGGTGTATGAAACACTTCTTCGGTAGACAACTCTATGGAATATGACAAAGACAAGAGCCGTTCAGGATTTTTACCTTTTTTCAGAAACAAATTTGAAGGACTTTTCCAGGACTCCGATCGATTTCTCCAGGACTCCACATTTCATCTTAAACCCTTTCATTCCCAAGATTTTAAATTCGATTCTCCTTACAGTTTACTTACATTTCTTATATCGGAAATTCTAAAAACTTTATTGCTTGAGTTGAGCAGATTTCAAGAACTCCAGGCTTCTTCCAGGACTTTCCAGTCCCGGACAACGTTTGGGTCAAGATTGCCTGAGTATGTGATTTACCGCGAAAATAGCTCCTCACCGCGTTTAAAACTTGGTTTCTTTCGAAACGAAACCGAAGCTGGAGTGATTCTTTTTCCACTCACTCTCATGGAAAATCCACATCGCACTCGCTTTCCCACGGTCAACCAGGTCCTTGCAAAATTGCTGCGTTAACGGTGCCTTCTTCGGGCTTGTAATCATCATTTTCTCGATAAAACCGACGATGAACAATTACACCACACTACCAAACGTTATATAGAAGGAAACCAACTGGAGGAGGACAAATTTCTGGTTCGCCCTTCGAGGGCAGACGGACTGCTCTAATGGTGCAACTCTGCACCACCACTCAGTATAGTATAGAAGTGCGCGGTCTACTTTCGCGCCACAAGCACGCGTGTGACCACTTAATTCCCGTGATACCTTGCGTTAACAGATTTTCTTGAATCATTCGAAGGGTCGTTTTTCTCGGAAGGAAATGGAATAACACTGGAATACAACAAAATTCGGCAATAACAACCGTCCAAAAAAAGGATAATCCAGCGTAAAAACGGCCATAAATACCTCGAATTTCCAAAGACTCAGTCTACCGAATATACCTCAATTCACAAGTCTTACTGGAGATAAGAGAAGACTCGATTTCACATGGCCGCCAAGTATTTATCATGACAAAGTCAATGTCAGGTTCGATGTCTACATCTGAAAAGTTTCACATTTTTATATCGATGTTGTAGAAAAGATATAGAGAAAAAAACATTATTGTATCAGTGCATCCTGATCAAATGAGCTCTAGTCTTCCAAAGCTCGATCTCGGCTTTAAGATGTTTTTTTCCTTATCTGCATGTTCCAGATCATTAGGGAGCACGATCCATGGTAAAATTTGAATAAAAATATCACAAAGGAAGAAAAATAACTGGTTCCGGCAGGGCTCGAACCTGCGACCTTCCGCGTGTAAAGCGGACGTGATAACCACTACACTACGAAACCCTTCCCGAAATTAAAGGGAAAATAATATATATTTAAATAATTTGTCATGGAAACAATGACGTCACAGAAACAAAGGCCATTTACTGTGGTCATTCTCCATGTTCTATCTCGAGCAAAGCGACGTTCGATTTGGCTCGTATTTGATGTTGATTGGTTGATAGGAAAACAACACAAAGTATTTCTTACCTTTCTGAAATTAACGAAATCCGGCCCGGTAAAGACATATCGAACGTTCGATCACTCGAACCTATTTGAACCCAGTGAGTAAAAGGGGTAAGTTTCTAAGAAACTGTGATGCTGCTCGAGGTAGTAGCTCTTACAACAAAATTTGGTCATTTTGTCAAATGAGTTGATAATGTGAATTAGACACCGAAAAATGGTTCGAAAGCTGACGTTTCGTGCGTTAGCCCTTCATCTTTGAATCTGGAGAAGGGCTAACATTCGAAACGTCAACTTTAAATAGAGTCCTCAAGTTGGGAAAGTCTTATTAACAACTCAGTTGATAAAACCAAATTAGTTCGATCAGGATTCAAAAAAAATTTAAATAACTGTGCCTAATCTAAAATTTTGATTGTTCAAGTCATATTTAATGGTCGTTTCGAAGACATGTCCGGCGAGCGACAGATTGTGGAATGCGACCAATCTGACCCCCTCCTCAAACCCCAACACCACTAGCAACACCACCTCCTTGCCCTATGGTACGGATTTTGTCACAATTAAACAAAGTAGTGAACGCTTCTTTTATTTAAAACTTATCGCCGAGTCAGCATCATCTAGACCGTGATGGTGCCAATAGCGGATTGCGATTGTTCATTGTGGTTAGAACCTGTAGATGCTCGAAGCGGACCAACTCATTTTTGACCAGCTTAGTTGTTAATTAGTATCACGGGAAACGCGCTCAGTTACACAAAGCTTCATCCAATACCTCCAACAATGACGGTGGTATACGTCTCATTAACAACTGCAGTGAATTTAGTAATAACCCTTTACATAATTTATACAGAGAAAAGAAGAATCAAGAGTATGATTGATTAGATGCTTTGGAGAGGGGGAATGAAGTTTACATAGAGAGGGCCATGACTGAGTGAGCCCATGCAACATTGTAAGTTCCGGATCATCGTTGTCCAAGAGAGTTTCAGTAAACGTTGCTGTTACAGTTAAAGTAGCCCTCATCCCCTACCCCCTCCAGAGAAAGAGGTCCGGACCCTCTTAGTCCCGCTGGAATTCATTTACACAGCACCAATAAACAACTACATAGCAATGTTGATTCAACATAAGATTTATTCATCACTTATAGCTCCAATTAACCCAAAATAAAGTTTGGTCTAGTTTTCAAGTCCTCTGTTGTCCAGAGTTCAGCAATATCGAAGTTTATATGGTAATCCCTGAAAAGAAGAGGGAAAAAATATAGCATGGTCAGAATAATTCTAAGACATGTTTAAACGGACAGTTCCTTTTATTTGCAAGAAGCAGAGTCCCAGGATCAAAATGTTTATTTGAAGGACGGTTTACTTTGTTTTACCATCTGGTAACTGTTTCTAGATACCCTCGAAACAGAATCTATTAACTGATATCCATAACTCATCTGTCTCACAATTCGTTCATATTTTGTTAAAACCCATTTCACTCTATTTGTTTTCGGTTTGTTTTTCGATTTTCACGTTATCAATTCTATATCAATTTTAATCCTAATCGAGAGACGGATACTTCATGAATAAAGGTTTTTCGTAGTCAAGCTGACTCTTCTTTAATCCGCGAATCGTAAGACTGAATGGGAAACAAACTTTGTGAACATTTTTCATTATATGGTGCTCAAACTTTACTCCCTCGAGATCTTAAGTTCTTCCATATTTTAGCTACAGAATTCTATTTTTTGCACTAGTTTATTTCTACCCTGAGATTTTAGGAATCACGTCGTGGATCATAAAGGAGAGATTAAACTTCGACAACACAGGTACTACTTGCTGAGTTGTTTAAACTAAGGAAAAGTAAAATCTATACAGAAATATAAGATGAGAACTATAGAGCAGAGAATAGCACTGGCACAGGGATACGATAGAGGACCATAAGCTAAAAGGAAGGCTATACTCCTCTCATTAACTAGCTAGTTGCTATGATGTGCGAAGTTATATCCTGTAATTCAATAACGAAACCTAAGGATACATTTAGTCAAACTTACCACTTAAATTTAAACTGCAGTCCGGCTCCATGATTTCCACCCCTGCTGTAAAATGACGGATAAGACACAATTTCAAACAAAGGTCGAAGCTAAGTAGGCATTTCCACGGTTTGGCTTTATTCCGCTAGTAACTGGTCTTGAAAACTTTCGCCTACATGTAACTCAATGATCAGGTGTAAAACTGACTAGTCGTGACTAAATCAATCCCGTTTTTCCGCCCTTATGGAAACCTTTGTTTTTACTTGGAGTGCTTATCGGCTTCCTCTGATAATTTCCTATGATCTGTTTAGCCATTGACAATATTTGGTTTTGCCATAATTACAGTCAGTTGAAGGCGCTCTGAAGGGAAGTTAAAACCGAGCAAAGGCGAACATCATCAGTCTACATCATAAGGTGAATCTGTGAACTAATCACGCTGAGAGGATAAACCGACTGGGGAAATGTTGTACCCATAATGATAGACATAATCATGTAGCACTTAGAACTGAGAACATTGTTCCTTACTCTTTTGTTCGGATCGACTTTACGACCCGGTGCCCTCTTCGCTCCAAATGGAACCCCAGGAGCCACAGTTGTCGCTGTCGATGAGGTCGCTATGATTCCCCCCGGAGGATTCCAGCCAGCGTTTCGACCGACTGGCCTTGAACCGGGGGAGGCCCCAGCTGGAACTGAACTGAACTCCGAGGTTTCGCTAGTGTAAATTTGCCGAGTGCTGTTCAATAGCTTCACTCGAGGTCCCTGGAAATTGGGAAAAAAGGAAAAAATTTACTCACGGTGACTTTGTGAATTCTCAAACAGAATCCGTACACAAAGACGAAATTGACGCTTTTCACAATCACCTTAACGAACAAAACACCGACATTCAGTTTACCAGGGAGATCGAAGAAGACGGCAAGCTTCCTTTTCTCGACTGTTTGGTAAGCCGAAACAACAACGAACTACGAACAACAATATACAGAAAACCGACGCATACCGACAGACTTCTTGACGAATCATCCTACAACCCGACTTCCCACAAAGCTACGACTATCAAGACATTGACAAGACGAGCGCAACTTGTTTGCAACACACCGGACAGTTTATCTGACGAAAACAAGTACCTTGACCGCGTTTTTGACAAAAACAACTACAACACTGACTTCATTAGACGAAACACTCACAGAGTTACCGACACTACAGAAACTAACAGGGACTCCACATCTATCACGACTACAGCTGCTATACCCTACATCAAAGGCACTTCTGAGGCTATCGCGCGGATCCTACAACCTTACAACATTCGCGTAGCTCACAGGCCTATTACTACTTTACGACATTTGCTGACCAACGTTAAAGACAAAGACGAACCCAACAACAGACAGGGAGCGATTTATAAGATCGAATGCTCCGACTGCCAGGCCTCCTACATTGGTGAGACTGGTAGAAACCTTAACACGCGACTAACTGAACACAAACGAGCAACTAGAAATGGCGATGCAAACAATCACATTTCTGAACATCACCGACAAACTAATCACAGAATCGACTGGGACTCTGCTAAATGCTTAACCTACAGTACAAACTATTTTCAACGACTGACTCTGGAAAGCTGGTTCACTAACTTAGAACAGACGCCTCTCAACAGATGTCAACAATTACCAGCACCTTACAAACGACTCATTAACGACGTGAACAAACCGACAAACAGACCGACAAACAACAGACGGATCGAAACCGACCAATGACTGTTAACAACTCTACACGAGTCTTCCAGCCAATCACATCACGGCTAAACAGACCAATCACGTTCAACAGACCAGACCTTATAACATCATCGACTGACAACTACTCCTCACTTGACTCTGAAGATGACTATCGCACAGATAGTCGAAACGTCAGTCACCAACAACAGTTCTTTTCAGAACTACACACACCCGGACGATCACACTACACAAACTACAGAATCTTTTCTATTCTTCCAGTTCTGCGTTGAATAAAATCGGTTCGATAACCAAATTTAAAACTGCTTCAGGGAAAGCAATACAGTTGATAGTCCGATGACGCAGTTTCAAGTTTGATGCTCTATCAACCAGGCGATGTGGTTTTCAACAAAAGGCCATATAAAGTCAAACCTTAGATTTCTAACCTTCGGTAAGCCTATATCTGCATAGTCTTTTTCCGACATCAACAGAAGAGCATCCAGGTCAATTTCGTTTTTCTAGAATAAAAGAGCAAGTATTTTTGTTTTCAAAACTAAACCATGCTAAAATGATTTTTCTCAAAGTGTCGAAAAGCTGCTCTAAGTTTACCATATCCCAAGGCAAGCTAATAATGATACAGGATTATGAACGATGATCTCCAACTCCGGCTATGAAATGCATGCAATTTTTCCCTAGACGTGTTCATGTTCGTATCGAATGTTTTTGGCACAACACAGACAGCTTAAATTTTCATATTTCCTTCCGCACCAATGCGGTGGTGCTTATTGTCAATAATTACAAATGACATTAAATGAAGTCTCTCCATAATGGTACATAGTAACTTTGCGCATTTACGGGGAAAATAAGTCAACTCTAAATTAATTTATAAAAAGTACGCTTATAACTGGTAAAGTATTGGAAACAGGTCCACATGCCTTTTTTTAAGCTTATCAAGCAAAACCAATTAAATTGCTTTTACCTGGAAAAGACTGAGATGGCTCGAGAGGGAAAGCCGTTCCAAGAATGTTTGAAGTGTATCCCCTGGATTCACACCAAATTGTTCCTCATCAGAGCCTGGTAAGGAGGTATTGCCGCTGATCATGGATGGCGCTGGCGCTGTTGAGACTGACGGAGCAGCTGACCAACCCGTTGAAAGTGCGGAATCTGGGGTATATGAATAACTCCAAACTCCAGCAACTTGAGTTCCCTCTAAAGGAAGAGAGAGGAAGGCAACCCGCTCGAACGTTAAATATTGAATAACTTCATCACACACCAAAAAGATTTCCTCATACAGAGCGACCAAAATCATACAAAGTTTGCCACCTTTGCAAACGGATCATAGAACATCTTATGTTTATTTTGTTATTATAATCACATTAAAGTCCTAGGCTAAGACAAACGTACTGTTGATGTACCTGTTCCTATTAACGGCGATATCCCAGGCACGGATGGAAGTGGACTGGCGGACACTCTTCTTGACGCCCTCTCTGTTCCAATTGGCCTCAGTGATGGTTTCTCCCCAGTCTCTCCTAAAGAGGAGTTTCCTGAAGCAAGGGATGTCCCTAAGGGCGAGGAATTCGGTGAGGTTGATGTTGACGGTGTTGTGGTCGGCACTGGCGAGCCAGAGGTATGGGGCGGGGAGGACGACGTCGCTTCGTGAGGCAGTGGGGTAAACAGAGCTCCAGGGGTCGTGATGTACAAGGGCTGTGTGATGGGATCAGCTGGAGACACAGAAGAGGAAATATCTAGTTCTGACACGGGACCAACGGATGGTCTGGCACTAGGATGCGCGATGTCATTCCATACGCTGGGACTGAACGTCTGGCCAACATGCGATAGGATGTTGCTGATGACAGGTGGAAGGTTTGAAGACCCTGGAGAAGTGGTCACCGAGCTTATCACAGAGGAAGAGGAAGATGTTGTGACAGTAGGCGTTATATCAAGTGCACCGCTCCCTGATCCCCCAGTCACTCCCATGGCAACAGAGGAATACGAAGGAGAACCCTTAACAACCCTGGATGTTTTGCTTGCCGAATTCTTCCTTGGTATTGGCTCAGTTGGAGTTTCTGGAAACAATTGTCGCTTAGCTGGAGTCGGTGGCTTCGCCACACCAGAACTAGATGAACTACTTGTATTTGAGTTTCCACCTGATGGCTTCCTGACTGGTGCCGAGGCCACAGGAGCGGCGCCAGTAAGCGAGCTTGTCGCGGCTACTTGAGCAGCAGCCAGCGGTGTCTTCTTGCTGGTACTAGAGGCAGTTTGCGTGGTGCTCGCCCATCGTGCTGTGCTCGGCATGTGAGTTGAAGTAGTCACAGTGCTCTTGGCTGTGGTGGTGCTAACGGATGTGGTTACCGCAGGGTGCGACACAGGGGCACTATTGGTAGATGGCCAAGAGCTAGACAAACTTTGACGACCAGCAGATGTTGTCGTTTTGGTGGTAGATTTCGTTTGCGCAATCTGTGTCGTAGAGGGGCCTTTGGAAGACGTGTTGGTAGGTTTAGGTTCAGACAGGGTTCTGTGATGAGAGACTGTGGATGTGACTGATGTGGTGATTGTTGTTGTTGTAGCGACAGCTGAACGGCTAATTTGAGAATGAAGGTGCTTTTTTCGAGGAAGAACGTCATTAATATCACACTCGGGATCCTTGACAAGCGCTGAGATGAGCTGGTGCGCTTGTCGAGTTGCATCGGCTGGTCCCCTGGGAAATGGAAATTACAAAACGGTGTTAGTTGCTTCCGTTGAACTCCCTTTGGAGTTTACTATCCGAGATTTTTCTGGGCCTCACAGTAAAGTATGTTCCCTTTTATCGAACAATTGACAAAGTGATTGAGCTGTCCATAAAAAAAATCAATTTGACAAAAAAGAAATAAGACTGTGCCCATACTCGTATTGGTTAATGAGCGTTTTAAGATGAGAATATGCAAAAACCTTATTGACTTTTTAGATTTACGCGTATATTTTAGAATATTTTATGACAGTAGTATGAGGCATTTCCCATGTTGACAAAGCCTCATCTTAAAATTCGGAAGGTTGGGAGAATTTCGAAATTAAAGCAAAACTGTTTCAAATTCCTCCAACCCACCTCGTATTCAAATGAAACCACGTAAGTATAGAAGAAGTCCTGTAAGGCTCAGGTCACGCAAAGCCGCCCAAAAATTGAATTAAAAAAAAAAAAACAAAAAAAAAACATGGGCAGCTACATGAGCAAGCTTAGTTTTCCGGTCACTATATTCTATTTCCTCTCACAATCACTTTCGAAAATGCTGAAAGAAAAACTTACTTGATAGTAACTATACAGCTGCCAGTTGTTTTCTGTCGATTGGTATCGATATCGATGTGGGCTCCGGTTGTTTCGCGGATGGCATTAATATTGCACCCTCCACGACCAATCACACGGCTTATCACAGACGATGAAACAGACATTTTCTTAGATCTAAAAATAAAAAGCCAGAGTCAACCCACAAAAGGTGTTAACTTCACCACGATACACAGTCCATATTTTTCAGGTTTTGACAGTAACTGTTCTTCATACCTTCTTACAACTTCCTTCCAGCCGTCCTCGTGTTTTTTGCCCTTCTTTGGACTCGGTAAAGTTGACATCTTCGTAGTAGCTGTTGTGGTAGTTAGAGTAACAGCGAGACATTGAGCTGCAGCAGTGGCGACAGTGATGGGTGACAAAGCACTGTGAGGGGTGGTCTGAGTCATGATGGTGCTTGCCACTACCTTGGTGATCTCCGCCGTCTTCATAACACTGATTACATCGCTCGACCTGACAACAGTGGAACAAGTCACATCAAATCTTTTAATGGAGAATTGATATTTAAGAAAGTGAGGAACAAAAAAAACGTTGGTAAAATATCTGTATATTAGGTTCATAACCATTGTATTTCATTAACCAATGCAATTCATTAATCACGAATATGACCTGAACAGACTCAATTAATCAATTTTGACCAGCAAACACTCTGCCTCACCCCAATAATTTGCAAGACAAATGTACGACCCCGTTCACTGCTGCATGTTACTGAATAAAAAATGGCAGTCAAAATGTCCAACTGTTAATCACAACAAAGAGAGCGGTGTACTTACTTTCCAGTTGAAGTGGTGGTGACAGCAGCAGTGATTGCAATACTAGTGAGCGTGTCTAAGGAACCTGTTGATGACTTTCTTGTTCTGACACCACTGACACTGTTGCTATCAATCACTGCAGAGGTGGTCAGTGGAGGGGGCAGGACACCTGCATTTACTACAAACAAGAAAACAATCCATAATTAGTTCTGTTCTATATTCTTTCTATCCGCAGAGAACACTAAAAAGCTTTAATTATGTGTACGGTGTATTGTAGCCTTTGTCACCGTCGTAGTGCTCTGAGTGCAGGTTACCTTGTGAACATAACCATTTTTAGAATCTTTTAACAAGATCCTGAATTTCCCTTAAACTGGGAAACAAAATTTCAGATAATAATTCCCTTTAATTTTTTTTCCAGTCAGAAAAATTGTCATCCAGACCCTTTACAAACAAACTAAATAACCAAGGACAGCGTCCTTCCAGAATTCACTTTGAACTACCAGTACTTAAAATTTGAAAAACTCTAACCACCGTTTTCAGCTGAAATCTTCCTCTCAGGCTCACTGCTATCATCACTGTTTTCTTTTTCAGCCATGTTTTTCACATTTGTTTCAGCCTCCTTTTCTGCCTGCAGCTTCTTCTTCTTTTTCTGTTTCTTTTTGTCCCTCTTTCTGGCAGCAGCTGCCTTCTTCAACTCTTCTCGTTCTTTCTCCAAATCTATCTGCTCCAAGAGTATGGATGCATTCTTGTTGGCTTCAGCAGCCTGGCGATCTTTAGCACTAATTATAATCTCCATGTTCTTGTGACATTTATTCAAGAGCTCCTGGAACAAAAACATTAGTCGGTCATTTCGTACCAATAAAAAACAATACCCACAAAGTTCTAAAATCCAGCCACCTAAATTTAGTTCAAAGAAGCATGATTGATACAGAGAGCACTAATTTCAAACAAACGGAAAGAATGGAGTTCTTGTCAATAAGTGGGAAACCAAATTTAAGGTAATATTTATTAAGCCTGTTGGTCCATGAATATTGAAGAGAAGTAGCATTAAGTGACTCTCAGGCAGGGCACTAGTCCAGCACAAGTAATCTCAAGCAATATTAGTCTCACTTACATTTTGCACTGTAAATATCAATTGTTGAAACCAGAAATACCGCACAATAACCTATCTCTTAACTCCCATTCCAGTGTGGTAACACAAACTCATTGAAGATGACATTCTCTTCAACCACAACTGTTCACACAAATATTCTTCAAAGAGCAAAAAATTGTCTCACCTTGTCAGAAAGAGTAGAAACAAATCTTGTACATTCAGAGTCTGATGGGAACTGATGGACATGCTTAACAAGCCACTTAATAACTTTGAGGTGGCCCTTTCTAAATGCTGCCATAAGGACAGATACCTTCCTGTTGTCTTGACTATCAACATCAGCACCATAACTAAACAGCTGCTGACAGACTTCCAGATGACCACCTAAATATACAAGAGCCCTTCATGAGTAATAACTTAGGGATAACCATGTGTAAACACTAGCAATATGTGAAAATATCATTCAAATACATTGTATGGAAGAGCTACCTTTTATTCCCAAGGAAAGCAAATTAAGTAACCTAGAGAGTAAGCTAAACATCTCAGGTATTTTTTTTTCAGTTTAAGGCCTCAAAACAAACATTTTTCTGTTTGGTAGTGGTTGTAGAATACACAATATTTGTGTGTCTGCTGTCTCTAACCACATTGTAACTAACAATGTTTCTGATAAAAATTGACATTGTACCCTCCTATACTATGTTACAGAGTAGATTTTATGTGCACACCAATCAAGGTTTAGAACTATTTTATGGTATGAATCAATCTACATGAATATTCCTTGATTACTTCCACTACCACAGTGTTAACAAGAGATCATAATACAAACAATCAAACACTCATTGATCAAAAGAGTGATAGCTACCATTAGTTGCATGTACATGTCCCTACCATTTGCTGCCAACCAAAGTGGTGAATTTCCTTTCTTGTTCTTCACATCTACCATTGCACCCCGTGACAGCAACAAGTCACAAAATTTGTAATGTCCCTTATCAGCAGCTATGGTCAGTGCTGTGTCTCGAGAGGAAGGAACAGGAGGGGCATTGACATCACATCCTTTATCAAGGAGGATTCTACCCACCTCCACATACCCACCAGAAGCAGCCTCCATAAGAGGAGTCAGACCAGTCTGTAAAACAATAACCACAAAGAAATAATTGTATATGCCTGATTATTTACAAAATTTCTGTTTTCTTCTAAAAAACCCAGAATCAACCAGTGAAAGAATATAACACACTGATGAAGAGAGCAACATTTTGTTGCCTGATCTTCAAAGGTGGGAGGATTCCTTTTGAAAACTGTTATCCACAGCAATACAGTAATACTACATGTATTTGCAGTAAGATTAAAGCGGTGTTTGTCAGTTGTGACTGACCAGTTTTTATATACAAGTTAAATTTTCCTTTTGATTTTTTAAGGTATTGTATGTCAATGTTGTAAATATTTTGAGAATTTTTCTCTGCAATTTGGAGACTTGGTGGAACAAATTTTTGTAGTTCAAAGGCAGAGGCTTTGCCTGGACTAAGGGTAGTAATTCTGGCATCATCTTTTTGTAAGATTTACTTTTTGTTAGGACTTAATCGATTGGATCAAGAAACAGGCACAATTTTTTTTTTAAAAAAGAAAAAGTCCAAAAAATTTTCATACTACATAGTGGCTCCTATCACATGTGAGTTTACTCAGGCATCACAGGGTGTGAAATTAACTTTTTTTTCTGATAGCCACTTGGCTCCTAAATTCTTCAAAGTGGTAGCCAATTCAAAAAAAGTTGGTCGCCATTTTCAAAGACAAACAAAATCTTTCTTTGTGCTGTCAGCATTCTAGATAGACCCTCCAAAATTAAGTTAGGGAAAAGATCTTTAACGTGCTACAAAGTGGACACTAGGATGTATGATATACAACTTTCAGGCTCATCTAAATCCAAGATGGCGTCTAGTTATCGATCGAGATGCATGTGCTACGTTTTGGAAACAAACTTAACAAGGAAGTTTGCCGCGGATTTATCTTTGCAAATTTATTTAATTCACTATATCTCTTAGTAAGGTTATGATGAAACATTGTAGTCGCCAATTTGGCGACTAACTTTCAGGATTTGGTCGCCAAAGTGAAAAATTTAGTCGCATTGGCGCCTGTATTAGGCGCAATTTCACGCCCTGCATCACCATTGTGCAGGCTTCAGCCCTCTGCTGGCTTTCAACAAATAAATATCAAGAATACTCAGTTACCTTTGCACGGTGTTCAATGTTTGCCTTCCTTTCCACCAAAAGGTTCACAACTTCATGTCGCCCTTGAAAGCATGCCAGTGTTAGGGCAGTGTTCCTGTTAGTCTCAATCTGAGCATTGATGTCACTTCCCATGTCTAACAGTAGTTTAACAGCTGCTGTGTGGCCATTCATTGATGCTAACATTAATGGGGATATACCCAATTTGCTTCCAGTGCGAGAATTGATCTCAGCTCCATGGCTCAGTAAGAGTTTAATGATACCAACATATCCTCCTGATGCTGCTAGACTGAGCGGAGTGTAATCTGAGACATTACGGTGTTCAAAGTTGGCCCCTTTGGCAATTAGTAGCTCCACCACCTGATGAAAAAATGTCACTCTTTTGATTAACACAGAGACCAAAATGTATGTAAAATGTTCAAGTAAGTACATTATCTTTCAAACTATTTGATGTCCATCTGAAAAGTATTTATTGAGATTTTTCCTGCAAAAAAAATCTTTTTTCTGACCTCACCAAAATTCATGTAAATGATCATGAAATAAAAAAAGAAGTATCTCCAGCATAATAAAATTTGCTTGATCATGCTGGAAAAATTGTCTTTAAATGCTGCACATACATATTTGGGGGAAGAAATCACTTATAGCAGTTCCAAATACAAGTACATGTATCACAAACCTCTTGCCTGCCACCAGAGCATGCTAAGGAAAGTGCAGTGTCTTTAGTTCGATCTGACTGGGCTTCAATATCTGCTCCATTATCTAACAAGATCTCAACAGTTGAGGCATGGCCAGCTGTGGCAGCCAAAATTAAAGGAGTACAACCTATACAAAGAAAAATAAAAGGAAAAATTTGCAAGAAAATTCTACAAAATTCCCAGCAACAGTGCCCAGGACCAAGTCATACATACATGTAAAGTATGTAACAAATCCCTTCCTGACAATCAGGCTAATTGGAGGTCTATATGCAAAATGAGGTGGTAACATCTCAGTGAGAAATCTAAACATTAGAGGACAAAAGTAATGAACATAAATGCACAACAAGATATGGTTTTCTCCCAGAAAAGTATAGTTAACTGAGAAGCTGTTGTACATTGTACACAAGATATCTTAAAACCCCTTCAATACAAAGGAATACACCTCAGATTTTTTTTAAAATCAGTTTTTAAAACTTTCACAAGTGAAATAATACGTTGAAATTTTGTTGCCACATTCCTTAGCATGATAGGTCAAGAAAACCTGCAACCATATTTGAAAATTTTTATTTCACAGGACTTTTAGATGATGGTCGAAGACCTTTGACAACTTGTAACAAAGGTATAAAATAAAATATCATTCTATTCAAAAATGAATCAACCACTCTACCTTTCTTGTCTCTGTGCTCAATATCAGAGCCTTTAACAAGGAGAAGAGTCACCAATTCATCATGACCTCCAGCAGCTGCCAAAGTGAGTGCAGTGTCTGAGTTACTGTCTGTTTGCTGATCCACATCAATCATAGGAGGAAACTGAGGCGAAGCAGGAGATGGGGTGGGTGTTAGCGGTACTGATGATGTACTAAGGTCTGGAGGAGTAGGTGGACCACTGTTATTGCTTGAATCTAAAAAGAAAACAAAATATATATACATGTAAGTACCTCTACAGATTGAAATAGTAAAAACTTTCAGTATGTGCAACAAAATTTGTGGATTTCCAAAACAGTTCCAAAACTTTGGTTAAAAAAATTATATATTTGAGGAGGGTCATTCAGATATCACTTTGAAGCACTTAGACTGCTATATATTTGAAACACAATGTGATATGTAAAAACCAAATAAATACCTTCAGATAGCATGTCTCCAATGGTCTCATGAAGAGTCTGAGCAGGTTCTGCAACCATTAAACCTTCAATGCCATCTTGATCATCAGTAATCCCACCAGTAACAGTACCCACAGAGAAGGGTGATGGAGGCAAGGCAATTTCCTCTCCCTCAAGATTCAGTGCTGATACTTCATCATTGACACTCTGGAGAAGCTCAGGAGGTATATTCTCCAGTGAGAGGTTGGCACTCTTCAAGGCTTTGGCTAACTTCCCTTGAATAAGCTGCAGCTTCTCACAAATGACAACCTTGTTATCAGTCTGCACAGCAGTTGAAGTCATGTTTGTTGACATGTCAGACATTGACTGGCTTACAGATGACATGGTGGAAGAAGTGGAGCAAGACGTAGTTGGCATTTCTGGCACAACAAAGTTGGCAGGGGTGTTCAACAGAAGAGGTGAATGGGGTGACAAAGGGGTGTTTGACAGCTGGTTTAAAAGCTGCTGGTTTTCCATCAATACCTCTGCGGTCATATCAGGCAGATCAGGATGTTCCATTACTGGAGGTTGAGTAGCATGAACAGGAGGCACTCTGGGTGGTGGCACAGTTGGAGTGGGAAGAGTAGCAGGCATTGAATGAAGTGGTAGTTCTGGAGGGTTGGAAACAATGGGGTTCTCCAAGAGGAAGCATATTACTGCTGCATGGCCTCCTTTGGCTGCCTCTATCAAAATGTTGGAATTATCCTATGGTACAATGAAAAAAAAAATGTGACATATTTTTATAGACAAATTTGGTTCACATGTATCAAAATTGTTACCTACTAATTTGTCAAACTAGTAGTTGCTCTAGAAGGGATATTAGACAGGAAATCATAGACACTCGATGCTACCGATCTAAAGTAAATCTAGTAATTTGTAGTTCTCACCTTTAACTTATGCAAAGGGTCAGCACCATGTGCTAAAAGCAACTCTACCACTGCCAAGTGCCCACCAGCACAAGCAAGAGAAAGAACAGTGTGATCATTCACAGTGGTCTGTCGGTTGACATCAGCTCCTACAAAGAAATGTCAAACTCAGGTAAATCCTCATTCACTGTATCCACCTTACCTATGTCCACACAGCTTTCACAAAAAACCACAATAAATCATAATTTGTATTGTTGAGAATGTCATCAATAACTAACCTCTACTGATGAGAAACTGCACAGTACAAAGATGTCCAGCTCTTGCAGCTTTCATGAGAGGTGTGCGGCCAGCTTCAGACTCATGCTCCTGTTAGAAAGACAGATCAGTTTCACAAATTAAACCCATAGCATTCATTAGATGTTGGTAATGCTATTACAAGTATACCTCCCAGCCCCAGCATTACCAGGCAAGATTCAAGTTGTGAACTACAGAAACCTTACCAGTTCAGCTCCAGCAGATAGTAGAACATCAGCGACATCTGTGTGGCCATTCTCACATGAAAATGACAGTGGGGTATCACCAGTTGCAGTTGTTGCATTAACATTAGCCCCTATAAATTAAAACTCAAGTTGTATAATTTTTTGTCCTTTAAAATTACAATGCAAATTTTACCAATTTATCAAATTTAGGAGAAAAAAGAGAAAACCCAGGCCAACCACAAAAAAGAACTCTAAAATGTGACTAACCAAATACAAACATACAAGTTTCTTTTGGTCTTTCAGGCAGTTTGTTGATATTACAGTGGAAGCCTCTGCACTTATTTGCTCATTATTTTGTTTTACGCCTTTTTCATTTCCCAGTAAGGGAACCTACAAAACTTCTCTTGGCTAATCTTTCACATGCAAGACAAGTGGATGCAGATTCTTTGAACATTATTTAGCTAAGTGTGTTGATGCCACCCTTAGTTTTCTTGATAAACACTACATGTAAAATAAGAGCACACATTCCCACTCTGAAAAAGTAAGCTGAATTTAGATCACATGATCCATGTACCTTGTTCTAGCAAGAATTTAACCAGATCAACATGTCCTTCCTGAGCAGCTTCCATGAGGGGAGTTGACGAGCCCTGTTCAATAGTAGCACCTGTCAAGAAGACACAAAAGTCAAAATATTGCAAAGATCCTGTCATTGACTTTTCCATTTTAAGTCACTCCTGGTTAAGTATTGATAGAAAGCAAACTAACAACTGTACCAGCTTGAAGAAGAAATGCAGCTACATCTTGAAAACCACCACAACAAGCCAAACTCAAGGCTGTCTCTTGAGTTTCCTCTGTTTGTGCATGAATATCAGCTCCTAGAGCAAAGAGAAGTTTCAGTGTTACAAGAATTAACCTTACGAGGCAAAGCCCCAAGTTTAAGACCTGAAATGATTGTCAAATTAATATTTACCATGCTCGAGTAGCAGTGCAACCATATCAAGATGTCCTTCCCGTGAAGCTTCCATAAGAGGGGTATACCTGACACACAAACAGCATTTATATGTAACCTGTACTGTACTACATGTACTTGAAAGATAAGGTAAATGCAAATATACCTTGGAGGGGCAAAATTCTCTTTCTAGAATGTTTAATATGGTCATAACTGTAAGTATGTCACTTTTCTATATTTCAATTATCATACCATTCTACTATTCTACAGTGCAGATGATTGTGCAATATATTGGGGCATGTTTGTATTTTAGATGCATCTATATTGGGGCTCATGCTTGTTTTTTAGATGTATCAAGCTAACCACAAGGTTCTGCAAGTGGCCACTTACCCTTGGTACTGATCACCACAATTTCAATTGATGCTATTAAAAGCAAGCTCTCTTAATCATCCCCTTCAAATTTATCTTGTGAACAAATTTCTTTACAGGTACAAGTCAGAAGATTGTTAGAATTTTCTATGACCAAAACAACTATACTTTCTCTTTGCATACCCTTCATCATTGACTTCTTCTAGGAATGCTCCTCTCTTAATAAGCAAGTCAGCCAGTTCCACATGTCCACCACAAGCTGCCAATGTCAAAGGTGACTCAAAACTATCAGCTGGCATGTTAACCTACAAAATAACCATAAGGGAATTTACTATAATTTGCCACAACTTCATTCACTTTCCAAGCAAATAAGCTAAGTTTCTTTGTTCCTACCTGTGCTCCATGATCTAGGAGAAGTCTGGCCACTTCCACATGTCCATCCATGGAAGCTTCCATCAGCGCAGTGTGCATTTCATCTGTCTTGTGCTCTTGATCAGCTCCAGCATCAAGCAAAAACTTGACCATTTCAAGGTGACCTTGTGTGGAGAAAATGCTTACAATTACTAATGAAAGACTTTGTCACTTGATGCACATATAAAACAATCAATCAATCAATCAAACTCTTTGAATCTCCTGAAAATTTGTTTTGGCCTTTATCAATTGGAGACGCAGTAGTCTAATGGTGGTTATTGCTCTGGACTTGGGGTCAAGACCAGGCTGGGTCATTGTGTTGTGTTATTAAGAAAAAACACTTTACTGTCGCAGTGCTTCTCTTCACCCACAAGTATAAATGGGTACTGACAAATTGTCAGAGAAGCCTAATAAAATGATAGAGGGTAATCTTGCACTGGACTAGCACTCCCTCCATGGGGGAGTACTAATAGTCCTAGTTGCTTCATGCTATTAAGACCAGGATCAGCTCTGGCTGGATGGACCACATGACTCTACTACAGACTCGACCTTCATCACAGGTCTATCTACATGCACAGCTCAATTCAGACAGTGTATAAGGGAAGGTGAATTACTCCAAAATAACTTTCAAAAATATCCTGTCACAATCATAGGAATCAAAGCTTCACATCTTGCTATCAAATGTACTACATTTACTAAAAAAACCCCACCAGTCATACAGTGTGATCATCTACAAGTATGTGAAAGTGAGATAGGTCAGAGCAACAATAGTTAATGTTAGAGTCAGGAGAGAATTTGTTGCCCTTGGGGCACATCTAAAAGTACATCAAGAAAGCAGACAAATAATGCTTGAAAAAGAATCAAAATGAGACATAGGTAAACCCTACCAGCAAAATTATTATTTTAAAAAGTGTTGCTCAAGTTCATCCATTCCCTTACCTTTATAGCACGCCAGTGTCAATGCACTCTCCTTGAACTCATTTGAATGCGAGTTAATACAGGCACCTCTCTCCAATAACATCTTTGCAACACTGACATGTCCACCACTTGCTGCTTCCATCAGGGGGGTGTGACCATTCTCATTGTGGGCTTCAATATCAGCACCATGATTTAGTAACACTTCTACCACATCTTCATAGCCACCACAGCAGGCATAGATGAGTGCAGTATTACCAGCTTGTGATTGTGAATTAACATCAGCAGTGTGCTCAAGTAACAGTCTTACAATGTCTATATAACCACCACTAGAAGCTTCCATCAAAGGGGTACAATCTCCTTTGCTCCCACGATCATCGACACTTGCATTCATTGCAAGCAGTACTTGGGCAAGTTCATAATAACCTTTTGGGAAAAAAAGATTAGGATACCATAGAATTTTTCAAAAGTAAGTTAACTTCATGAAACAGAGAGATGAAAGGTGGCTGTTCAGCCCTTCTTGCTCTTTTACAGACAAGAGGAATATCCCAAGGGGGGTCATGAAAACAATGGGTGGGTGGATGGAGACTTTAGCCAGCTTCCCATTTTTGTTGACAACCTTACAATGTCAGGGAACTAATCAATGAAAGTACCTGCTGAGCAAGCTAAAGAGAGTAGACTCTCTCCTTCATCAGTTGGTTCATGTACACTCCATCCTTCTTCCAGCAGTTTGCGCACAGCACTGACATCCCCTTCAAGGCAAGCTTCTGCAAGACTCCGAGCTCCTGTTTAAACACACCAGAAAGTTAGATAATATCAGCTCCACCCTAAAACTGCAACAGACAGTTTATCAAAAGAATGTGGGAATCTTTGCGAAATTATACATTCTCCAGTTCAAATCCTAGAGATAAATTCAGATTTTAATTTTTTTCCATACATATAAGATGCTACCATTTTTTCATATCTCTTGACCATCTTTGGGTAAGTATTTCCCAACACAACACTTTTTTCATTACTGAACTTAACAGTATAAAAGATGCTTGTCACAGATACATATAAATAAATTAATGGCAAAGCTCACAAAGGAGCTCTTGGCTGTGAAGTAATTATTGTTTCTGTACCTGTTCCTATTGTCAGAACCAATGCTTTTTTAAAGAGTGGTATATCAAGTTCTTAAAGTGAACCCTGGTTAAAGTGATTTTAAACTACTTTAATTTGCATATATTTAAGTATCATTTTAGGAAGCATGCATACAGAGGAAAATAGTAGTCAGCCACATTTACAACAAATGATTTTGACCTGAAGTTCCCATTGAACTCAGCTTAGTTAAAGAGATTATTGACCAATATTTACATGTACCTTTGAATCACTTATGAGGTGACAAACCTGAATCAGCAGTTGTTTGTCCAGCCGATGATGGCAACCCATTATTTTGGCTTCTCATTCGGGTCAAAGCAGCTGCAGCCTCATCAAGTGCGCAGCTAACAGATGAAGTTAATCGGCGAAGTACTTCAGGATCAGTAAATGCTTTTCCATCTGCCAATTTACCAACACCTTGGAGATAAAAGGTGAAGTGATTTCTTTACCACGACCCAAGCTATAGAAGCTTTTACAATACTGCCTTATTTATAAGTAAAGGAGACCTACAGTTGGAATATTGTCTGAGACAGATTGATCATTTGTTCAGTCGTGAGTTTCTATAGAGAGCACTTGTTTATCATGACTCTTGTTTCTTGCGTCCACCATTTTTTAAAAAAGGAGGTTATGTACTCACAAATTAACCACAATACCTATCTACTCTTATATAATTATCATATGTCATCTACACCATGTTGCTCCTTTATGTCCTAATAGACAGCAATAAACCCACTCTTCAGCATTAATAGCTCAAATATTGAGAAAAAAATAAACAAATAAACCACACTTTGAAGCACCATCTTTGAACTGCTCCACTTAAAAATTTCAACCAGCAGCCTACTTCTTTAGCCACAAGCCTGCCTTATGGACTGACAACATGTATGCACTGTAAAAAGTTTTGCTGTAAATAGTAGAAATTTGTAATAGGGACTGCCAACATAATACCATTTAAAAAAGAAAAACTTGTCTTGACTTTTATTGTTTAAATGAAATTGTAACATGAAAAAAACAAAGGGATAATGGAAGTACAAGTCAAACATCTTAAATTGCATCATCCTTTGATTCACATGTCTGAGAAAAATTAAGTAATGAAATTCCTCTGATTGCATCATCCTTTCATTCTCCTTTCTCAGACAAATAAAATAAGGCAATTCAAAGGAAACACACCTGCAGCTTCCAAAAGCGTCTCTAGACGTGCCTGAGTCTCTGGGTCCATCTTCCTTAAGTCATTACTCAGACCATCAGAACCAGAAAGCATGAGCTTTGAAGTGAGTTCACTCCTTTTGGCTCTAAGAATGTACTCCATCTACAAACAACAGAATGTAGTTATGCTTTGTCAGGGTTCATTTATGCATTACAGAATCCTGTAAAGTAGAGGCAACAGACACATGAAGGATATTTACTATCTCCATCAATTATCAACTCAAGATGCAGTCAAGAATATGAAAAATAAAACTGATAACTATCAAAATTTGCTTTAAAGGAAAATTGTATCTCCGTTAAACTTAAAATAAAACCCTAGCTTTGTCTACTTGCGGGATCAAAGACCACTTCCATCATGGTGAATCAAAGGAGTCCATTAATACTTGTTTCTCCTTTTATTACCAAAAAGAAAATCCTAACATGGTCAAGAGAAGTGATCCCCTAGATAATGAGTTAAAGGAGCCATTAAATACTTAATCTAAGAACATTCCCAATGACCCAAATGATCTCAGAGGTTTACTTGACTTGTCTAGCCATTACAGGATTCTGGAACATGCCATGAATGTTAAATCTGACCTTGGCACCATATAACCACTACTGAATTTGTACGCAGGCCAAAGATCAGCATTTCCATGCAAACACTATACAACTGCACTATTAATCCTTTCACAAGGATTATGACCTTACAACATGAATAGGTTTTCACTACAGTCTATTTAACAGAACCCTGAACTGCACAGATGTTATCATCCCACAAAGGAAATGGCCATACTGAAAATAACGATGAACATCATAGAAATGTTAAAAGAGATGGCAATGTTCCTTTCATGGTTTTCTAGATGAAGGGCATTGTGTAATAAAGTACAGAGTCAGTTTGCAAAGTGTATATCAATGACTGAAAATGTATCATTTTGTAGCAAACTTGAAGTATACAAACTTCTTGAAATGTGGTGCCATCATTGAAATTTAAATAAAAATATGTCATCAGGAATTGTTACATCTAAATTGGAACTGGGGTCTTCACACAGTACTCAGAATATCACAATTTAAGGGTTCTGAAGATAAACAAAACAAAAAAAAACCCTAGATTGCTCTACATAATATTTATGCTTGTTAGACATCTGAAACAATAGTTTAAACTGAAGGTGACAGATAAATCAGAGAAAAGTTCTGTATTATGTTCAACATCACTGCATAAGCAAGTATTCCTACACAAACATTTCATGTGAGTGAGAAAGACAATTTCAATTAAGACAACTTTATCCACATAAAAGAAGTAAAAATAATTTGTGAAAATAGGGATATACTTGAAAACATTAGAAGAAAGCACCAGTCCCGAATCAACGTGGTTATGTAATTCATGTTGTTCCTTGAGGCAAAATACAATAGCAACTTCTTAATAGTTGTGAAGGACATACCATTTAGTGACATATTTCGGAACTCAAAGCACAACTGAACATCACTTTACATTGATCAAATAGTTTCCTCAACTGGTATATTTTCCGCCATCGTTCGACAAGACATGAGAAGTAAGGACACGATATTTACTGTGGCACTAAAACACGCACAGTGGGTCATAAAATTCTTCGACGCAAATAGGAAATAAACAATTTTCATTTTCCGCAAATTGAGGTTACCTAAGAATTAAGAGAAAACTAATGAAAAAAAGTAATTCAATAAAGAAAGGAAAAGCCTATAGTTTCTAACGAATGACGATTAAAATTCTACGAATCTACAAGTTTTAAACCACTCCTCCGGCACGTGTTGAGACTTCGGTAATGATTCGCGTAGCGAAAGGTAGCGATCACAAAATATTATATTAGTGGTAAAAATCTACATTCTTCTTCTACTAAGCGCCCCGAACGACTTAACGTTCCTGAGAATGAATTATTACTCAGACATACACTATAAGATTTCACATTATTGAAGTCTTAATTTGGAATAAGAGACTGCCAGCAGAAGGACATCGCACTCACTCAATTTCTCTTGAAGAGAAATGTACACGCAGACAAAATTCAACTTACAAAGAGACTTGTCGTGTTATTTCCTTGCAATTTTATCGAAAAAAATTCCTTAAACCCTTCATCAAAAGATAAAGAGTACCATCACAACAGGGTAAATAGACTGAACAAACTTCTTCTCAAATATTACGGCAAAGAACATGACACTGTTTTCGAGCTAAACGTTCGCTTTTATCGCACGAATATAACAAAGGACAATATTGCTACAGATCATACCACCATTTCTCCCAAAAAATGAACTATTTTACACTAGAAATTTCTCTCACCGGCGACTCTGTTTTCTTCAAAACAAATATTTTCTATCATAAGTCGAAGGGTTAGCTTTTATAGCTTTAATATTAATCATGGAGTTAGAATAATTAACATACCAAGAACATTTTTCCTCTCTTTCAGAAAGGGAAAATGTCCTTAAGAACTCTTTAACCGAATAAAATAAAAACATAATAACACACAAAAATTATCAAATGGTATGAAATCGCCATTACCGCTGAATGTTCGGCGCTTTCGTCGTCCAAATCATCATCTTCCTCGTCTGAAGAATCCGAAATCGATGGCGACCTTTCGTTCGGAAAAACCGCGGTTGAGTTTACCACTGACTTCTGTTGTTGATGAACAGACATTATCTACAAGTTTTCACTGCTATATACAAGTAGTCTTAAATGTTTTCTTGGCATATTACAGTCGTTACTTAATGTGAAAATGCGAAGACTTGTTCACATTCTCGCCAAGATCCGCCATGTTTCAGGCATCACGGTGACAATGATTCTCGGAAAACCCCGGATATATGTAAATGGCGGCTCTGAGATTGCGCAGAGGCAAATCGAGAACGTGGTGGTCAATGTAGTGTTGGTTGGTCCTTTGGTCGCCAAAATTTATGTCTGGAACTAATGAAACTTAGGCAGATTTTCTATCCTCTGTTAGCGTAGCTGAAAAATTTAATTTGACGAAAAGATCGAATAAGTTTTGTACTGAAATTATAGCTTTTCACACGATTATTTAGATTATAGATATAGAAACCGGTATCAAGCCTACGAGATCATGTGGGAAGCACCCTTCGAATAAAATCCCCTTTTTTAAACTTGACCAAATAAAACCCCAAATAATTTCGTAAGGGAAAGGTAGACGTAAAAGATAGTTCAGAGAAACAAAATAAAAAACGTGTGCGCAAAGGGCTATCGGGAGTTCATCGTTCAACGAGTACATCAGAAAAAAATAATATTTAGGTAATTCACGATTGAAAACTATTTTGAAACACACGAAAATGATTCCAGACTATTGAAAGATGACTGAGCCAGGGGAGAATATGGAGTTAATTGTTTTGTTTGTTTACCAGACTCAATTAAAACTAAAAAGATAAGAACCGACGGTAATCAAAGGTATTTGGAAATAAACGAATAAATGGGACACGTTTCTAAAGAAACTGCGGTGCTACGTCGGTGGGGTTTTTTTTCACAAGTTTATTTGCAAGGTAACGTGTGATCGAATTAGCCCTCCGCTCTGACAAAGGGCTAACGCTCCAAATGTCAGCCATAAAAACTTTTTACGGTGATCAATATACATTATCAACTCAGCTGATAGAACCAAATTATCGTGTATTTGAAGATAAGTTTTCCGCAACTATGGATACATCGTCAATTATCGGTACTTACGAAGAATAAAAATTCCGCAACGCTCTCGATTATTTAATCACTGATCCGATTTCATCCCGAGACCATGAAATGCGGGAAAAGAAGTTTAGTTTTATGGTCTCTGGGATTTCTTCGATTAATTTTACTGCGCGGGCTGTTTTTCGAAACTGCTCAGACAAGATATGCTACTAAACGACTGATCATACTATACAATTTACCCTATTTACCGCGTGGGTGTTTCTGAGTTCACAAAGTATTAGTTTAACTTCTGGCATGTTTGACATTGCGAAGATAAGTTCTGCAATAGAGGCTCGATTTCAGCCGTTTTCTGGTATCCGATCTTCGATCCTCCCGAGAAAGAACTCTTTGGAAAAGGAGGTAAGAGCGGGTTCATTTCCCGATCAGCGGTTAATCATCGTTCCGAAGCCCATTTATATTACGTCTATTGCGTACACATCACGAGTGCAACACGAGGTTATGTGGTCAGACTCTAATCAGAGTTGCTAGACTGTTCGTAGCCAATTACTTCCCACGATCATCGTTATCTAATACTGAAGTGTTTCAGAAGCACCCCTGAGCCACAGAAGGTTATGCAACAACAAGGAATTATATTTAGAAAGCTAAAAAAGACAAAAGTACTTCAACTTTTGCAAGATGGCATTTTATTACTAGAAATACTGTGAATAAATAGTAGAAAAGGATCCGATGCATTTTATTCGTAAAAAATAACTAACTGTCCACTTGATCAGATTGTCCAAGCTGAAATTGTTCGAGGCCATGTGAGCTGTGCCAAAGAAGAGATCGAACGACAATGATGCAAGGCTTTAAGAACACCTAACCCTTTGACTCCCAGAAGTGACTAAGAAGTAACTTCTCTCCATAATATCCATACATTGTAAAGCAGACAGGTAATAAGAATACTCAAACCCATCATGTAAAAGTTATCTTGATCTAACACCAAATTTTCATTACTAATTTACGAGGCAAATGTGCAGCAGTTAGAGGGGAGGATTACCAATCAGATCTCAGGAGTTTGAGGGTTAAATGTTCAGTTGGAAGGGGCGTTTTACTTCAATTGGTATGGACATTTAATTGGGTTAAACCAAGCTAATGCAGGGTCAATGCTGGTCAAAGTAATCGCACTCTTTTAGAAACGCGTTTATGTCGTCTCGTCTTGTCCCCTTCCCTCCCCCACTAGGTCTCTTGACTGCCCAGCATCACACTTGTCAGTATTCTCGTCACCTGGTAAAAACACGCGAGAAGGCCATAATTGTCACTTCAAGTAACCAATTGCTCATCGACTCGCACTACTAAAGCAACCTGGAGGATTACATCCATTTTAAATGGAAACGGTTATTTGTAGAGGTAAGTATACTTAATATCAACAAGATATCTGCACTATGGCTTTAAAAACAAGAGAAAAACTTTAAAATAGTAAAAATGTCATATCGTAAAAATTTGGCTAACTCACTAAAAGTACATAATTTGTTCATATATAACCTAATGTAGTACAGTCACTTATACTAAGAAAATCTTTCAGTTTTCACATGTTAGATTTAAAATAGAATAAAATACAAAGTTAATAAAGTGAATATTGTTTGGAGAATCAGACAACCAAGAAAAACAATTAATTTTTGACCACATCAACTATTGAGAGCTTGGCAGCCACGATTCTCATAGACAATAGTAATGTATCGATCAAATACAAGACACTCCGTTCACATTACATCATAAAAAGACTGAAATTGGGCGAAAAAGATAGTTATTACAAAACAAGTTTGTAAAAAATTGAAAATGGCTGAGAAAATAAAACGCTTTCACTGAGGGCGGATGTCACCTTTTATCAGTGAATGACCTTAAAGTGAGACTTTCGGGTTAATAAATCACTAATTAAGCATCCTTAGTAGAAAAATTACAAAAAAAACCAGTCCTTTAGGTTTTCCTTTCAGAAGCCAACGTGCTTCTAAGTTTTACGTCTTCAATGATGTGAACGGAGCTTAAGCCGGCGACACACCTAGCGATTTTATACGCCTATCGCGGCGATCAAATTCGTCGCCACCGGCGCATTAAATCGCTTTATGTAAACTTCATACTATCTAGAATTCCTTCAGTATAAATTTCAAACCCTAACAACATTCTACACAATGTAAAATGGAACGATAGCGCTAAATGTTCGTTTAAGTTTCAATTAGAAATATTTTTTAGTAACTATGATCCACATACACAACCAATTACAATTACCAAAACAATATCACCTACCGTTACATATCATATGTCAACAACATTACGTTGTTCACTTATGCCTTTAATATCCACCAATAAACCCACTCTTTAGTGTACATAGCTCAAATATACATTAAAAAAAGAACGGTTGAATTGTTTCTGATCGTCAGGGAAAAAACACATTGCTAAAACGCATTGTGCTAACAAAAAGTTTACCGTCGATACCCGACACTAAAAGTGGCGGACGTACTCAGCAGGAAGGAGAAACTGGGCCCGTTGCTTGCCCTTTTATGTTTTTAAAATTGAAAACCGAGATATTTGGTTTGTCAAAAATATATTCTAAAGCATCTCGCTAAGCGCCCACTGAGGAAGAGTCTGGATTCTTCAATAACACTGAGAGTAAAATTTCGGCGCTTCACTTCATTCTCAATACTCGCCGCTGGCCACAGAATAGTGGGCACACAGGCAATGCTTAGCATAACGCACCAACGGTACATTAAACCTTCGACAATGCCACATTTTATACAGTACCTAAAGCATTTTTTTTTTTTGGCGTGAGAAGAAGGGTTTCGAAGGTAAACTTGACTGACCACGAGGCCACGAATTAAGAATTTTGTAACAATCGCCCATTAATCAAGCAGTTATACAAGTGTCTTGCCGATTTCCCTAATTGCCTGGAAAATCTCCGAAGAACAAAAAAATTTTTAAGGCTTAGATTAATTCTCTAATTATTACAACAAGAATGCTGGCTCCCAATTTCTTACCAAAGAATTAATGAGAGGTGAAGTCCTCGGTCAACTATGAGCAAAAAGACTAAGAGCTGAAATAGCGCAAATCAGTGAGTAATCTCTATAACTACACCTATAACATTTACAGTTGTACCAATGCATTGGTTACTAATATGGACTTCTCGCTCAAAATTTAAGAATGCAAATGATAATACACACTACACTTTTTTCATTGGACCACAAAACTGTTACCGAATTTTGACGACTGCAACAGTTTCATCCTCGAATGACGGACACACGAAACACTAGCTCAAAAGAGGTGATATACACAGAATGCATTTGAAAAAGAATCTCATGGTTTTTAAAAATGAGTCACATCTAAAAAAAAATGAATAAAGGGAGTAAGTTTCTAAAGAAACTGTGGTGCTGCGTCGATGGGAGAGTATAACAGGGTAATTTAGTGTTATCAACTGAGTTGATAACGTAAATTGGTCACCGTAAAGAGTTAAAAAGCTGACGTTTCGAGCGTTAGCCCTTTGTCAGAGCGATTGGAGGAGTTGTGGGTTTATAAACAGAAAATGGAGCTACGCTACCGGTAGGAAGCCGTTTTTCCATTCCCACCAATAGCATAGCTCCATTTTCTGCAAATAAACCCAAACACAACCCAGAACTCCTCCAATCGTTCTGACGAAGGGCTAACGCTCGAAACTTCAGTCTTTTAACTCTTTACGGTGGCCAATTTACGTAACCAACTCAGTTGATAACACTAAATTGCATCTAAACAAACCTGCTTACTTGCCATCTACGTGACGGATTTACCTTTTAACAGCGCAAAGTTGTAAATAGTAACTGCGTTTATTTTCAAGCTGCTATTTTCCAATGTTTCTGTTTGATGTGGGATCTTCAAAAACAGTTACTGTCTTTACTTTGCCGTGATGGCGCTTTTTAACCTCTTAACACACGATTCCAGAGTGCTACTTCTGTCTCTATGCGAACTGATGTGAAGATCCAGATCCATTTGTTCAGCAAAACGTCTCTGGCACACCCAGCACCTAAATGGTAACATTTCGTCATCGTCTACGATCATCGGTTCTTCTGCGCCACCCCGAGGACGTTCAAGGGTGTGATCGTTCTGATGAAGAATATAATGATCGTAAAGTTTTGAGAGTGTGGGGGATGTCACTTCACAATATGAACATTTATATCGTTTTTCCTTGGCGTGGCTTTTCATATGAACAGCAAGCGTTGACTGTGTTCTGTAGCAATTTTCACACTGCGTGCACTTAAATGGCCTTTGACCGGTGTGGATTCTCACGTGTCCAGCCAGTTCTGTGGTGGAGACAAAAGCTATTCCACACTGGCTACATTTGAAGGGTTTGTTAACAATCTTCATTAGCTTATCCATATCAAGATCGGGTTCGGCGCTGTTCAATTTTCCACTGTCTTCGGCGGAGGCCACTTTATCGTTGGTAATGGCAATCTGTGCCATCTTAAGCCCTTGTCCTAAATTCAATGTCTGGTCAGAAATACCGCCTTGCGCTGAAGGCTGTCCGTTACTTAGAGCCACTTGTTCTTTATGAGCCCCTGAACCAGGCAACGCAGCAGTGTGGTTCGCGCCATTACGAAGGAGGGAACTGTGAAGTTTTTCATGAATAGCAAGTTCAGACGAGGTACCAAAAGCCATCACACAAAGGTGGCACTTGTGGGGCAGGTCGATCAGATGGAATTTCTTATGAGTTGTCAGGTCAGCCATTCGTTTGAAAGACATTTCACATTTAGAGCAAGAAAAAGGTCTGTCACCAATATGACTCCTTCTATGGACGCCAAGTTCAGATGCAGTCTTGAACTGCTTGGTACAATGGGTGCACTTATACGGTTTCTCACCAGTGTGGGTCCTGCAGTGAACAACCAGCTCTGATGTGGTCTTGAAGCACTTTTCGCAACTAGTGCACTTGAAGGGCTTTTCTCCAGTGTGTATTCTTTGATGTACCACAAGTTCGGACTTCCTACCGTAAGATTTGTTACACTGGACACACTTGTATGGTCTTTCCCCCGTGTGAATCACCCAATGCTGGAAGAGCTTGGACTTGAAGGCAAAAGACTTATCACACTGCGAACATTTGTAAAGTTTTTTACCTCCGTGAGTGTCGGTGTGAGCTGTCAATTCCGCTGAGGTCCTAAACGACATTGAACATGATGAACAATCGAAAGGCTTTGAAACAGAGTGAATTTTTGAGTGGGTTTCAAGGTGTTGTTTCGTTTTGAACGACTTATCACAAACTGTGCACTTAATGGGCTCGACGACAGAATGATTTTTCTCGTGTTTTTCCTGTTCAGACGGGGTCTTGAAGCTTCTTTCGCACTGGCTGCATTTGTAGGGTCTCTCTTTGCAGTTGTTTCGCTCATGGATGGTGAGATCGGCCTGCCGAAAAAAGCCCCTGTCGCACTTAGGACATCGAAAGGGCCTCTGACCCGAGGTAACCTTGTTGTGCAAACCAAGCTCCGACGCTGTTCTGAAAGACTTGTCACAGTGGAGACATTTATACGGCCTTTCACCAGTGTGAAACCTATCGTGAACAACAAGCTCTGATTTGGTTTTGAACGCCTTCTCGCATTTTAAACAACGAAAAGGTCTTTCCCCAGTATGAACCCGCTGATGAACCACAAGTTCTGATTCCCTCTTATAGGTCTTGTCGCAATTGGGACACTTGTACGGTCTTTCCCCACTATGGGTTATCTCGTGAAGAAGTAGTTTGGACCTGTACAAGAAAGCCTTGTCACAATGCGCACATTGGTAGTAATGTACTTTACCAGAACCTTTTTTGCTCGGCTGTCCTGAGGGCGAGGCATTATGCATTTGTGGAGGTTGACTTCGACTGGTGCAACCGCTAGCTGAGGGCTCAGGGGATCGGTCCATATATGGAATTCACTTCAATGGTCACAATCCCTGGAAAGAAAAGTGGTGAAGAGTGTCAGAGTAGCTCAAAATTAATTTGACAAGAAAACATCAAGTTAATAATTTCTTACAAACAACATCTGTAGATGAGGATAGAAATGTTATAAAGGAGGGATTTAAAGTCAGTTTTAACCCTTTAAACCCAGAGAGTGACTAGCATCAAATTTCTCCCTACAATATCACCCCTGAATCACACGTTTAGGTCATGAGAATAAAGGAAATGATCACCAACGAAAGAAGCTTTTGATTGGTAAACAAATTCTCTTTATCAGCACCTTAAGAAATGTATAAAGAGCAGTATGGAGAATATGCATACTGACTTTAGGGTGTAAAGGGTTAAGGTTCTTTGGTTTTAGTTTGTACTATGCGTTCTGGCGTAGTATAAGGAGGCTACAACTAAACAATGCAAATAAACTAAAACTGAAAACATTAGTAAGTTTAGCTACATGTACTAAAGTTAGCTGTGGCAATGGAAAAGACCATGCTTGCAGTCAAATACTACTCAAAGCTAACAGTGCATTGATCTCCATGAGTGTAAATACTCCCTACAATGACTAAGCGTAAAAAAAAGGTCATCACTTGACCTGCATGATCTATCCAGCTGGCGCTCACTCATCCCAGTTTTAGTAGTGAAAAGGAGTAAAGCCACTGTATGGAATGCCAATGCATCACAAGTTACCCCCCCCCCCCTTCCAAAAAAAAAAACATTTCATCAGGCTTTCCTGGCAGTTTGCCACTATCAACATTTATTCTTAAGTGGAGGGAGGCACTGAGAGTAAAGTGACTTGCCAAAAAAAAACAACAACAACACAAAGAACCAAGCAGGTCCTGAACATGGACCTCTGCACTATGAGTGCAGTGCACCTATAATGTCTTCCACAATAACTGAAGGAGCCCTCATTATTTATACCGTTCAAAGGGCTGTTGCACCTTGAGGGTGGGTTGCCAATATGTGATCAAGCAGAAGGGAGGGACCTCATAAGAAATTTATGTAGTGATATCATTACCAACAATAAATGAAATGACAACTTGATACTGCAAAAGACTTATGAATTCAATTTATGAATGGTCCTGGGTAAAGCAGCTTTTATACATGTAAATGCCGTGTGCAGATATTTCATACTCAAAATCTGGTAGGAGATATCTGGTGTAAGCTGCATTGTGATGTTGATTACATATACTTGTATCTAACCTGTGAAAGAGGAGAGGACAATATTTTTGCCTCATGAAGGAGGGGATCAGGAGAAAAAATTAACATGGAATACTACTGTACCAACCTCATAACCCTCTAAATTATGATGCCAGAAAAAGGACAACATAACTTTAAATCACACACAGTAAGATCAATATTAGAATACAGGTACGTTGTGTTTTCAAACTTGCCGCTTTATTTGTCAGATGCCATCGAAAAAAGTGTAAAACCGCTTCCTTCCAAAAATTTTTCTTACGTCATCATAAACTGAAGCCTTGACAGTAATTTACAATCACTTCAAGACAGAATGATCATAGAGTGCAAAAGGTTTATTACCAGTCTTAAACCAGGTAACCCTGTGTACAAGCTTGTTAATAGTCTCATAGTAGATAATCAATATAATTATGCATCAAGACCTAGAGAAAGAAATTCAAATATCCATTTATCTCAAACAAATACACTTTATGCATTGCACATGACTAGTTTTCCATTATTTTGCCTCTATATACTGGTTGGTTGCTAATACAATCAATTTTTCCTTAGCCATATATTTTGTGTTATTACTTTATTATTCTTTGCTGGCCAGACCTGTAATTCAGTCATTTATACTGCAAGAGGTCTTAATAAACATATCCACTCATACATAAAATGTATATTTTCCTTTCTCATCCTCCTCCATTTCCCAACAAGTTGGCTGCCAGATAAAACAAAGTGTATACACAGTCAACTATCAAGCTTTGAAAGAGCAATAATTTGAAAATGGTTGAAATAAAACATTCATAACTGTTTTTACCCATTATTTCCAAGATGTATTTTGTGTCTTGGTAAACAGACTCAAAAAGTTTACTTTGTGAACACTTTACATCTTAACCCTTTCACTTCCAAGAGAGACCAAGAGAGGATTTCTCCTCATGATATCAATAAATATTTAAGCAGAACTTTACTGAGAAGAAAAGTACTACCAAGGGGATATTGTATGATTCAATGTTAAATTCTCAGAAATAAAATCATACAAAGTGCATCGCAGATAGTTGGGAGAATTGATATAGTGATATCTTGGCTAGGCAAGGCAACAAAAGTGCTACTGTGCAGCATGAAAATTTTGTGAGTTTAGAATTTGAAAGATTTAGGATTGTTATCGACTCAAAATTTAAGTTCACATTGAACAAAACCCTGCATCACATAACACCAAAAACTTAGTTTCAGTTCAACAACAACTTCACCCCATGTAAGTCATGAGCCACTTTTTTTCTCATCCACATTCCACTAAAATACCTCTCTGAATGTTGTCAAGGATCCTGTACACCTCTTAAAAAACTCATCATACAAACAAATCTAAAAATGAAAAGTTTTCTTTTTCATTTAAAATGTTCTTTCGCTCATACAAAAAATCCCAGCATTAATCTTGAGTCATCTAAAAACCATAAATAAATGTTTCTGCAGGTAACAAAAATCACTGATTCAAAGAGTATCACTATGGCAAAATTTGTTCTACTTTAGCATGTATCCACCCCTGTTATCATCATCTATCATAAGTCAGGAGTGATGTGTATTTAAAATTGTACTGATAATTGACTCGGTGACATTCTAATTTTCAAAAGTACTTTTAATCAAGAGTTATTAACTCATTAATAAAAGTTAAGCTTAAGAGCTGGTGAATAAAGAAACAGTGGAGTTAGGCAACAACAAGGAATGGGTAAGGAGTAATTACCTCCAATGCCACTGAACTAGTGTTTACCAAGAAGAATGGTGGAAAAGAAAAAAGCTTGATAAATACGCAGACCTCTCTCACAGGGCAGCAGACAAAAAATGAAAATACACCCTCAGAGTGGTAAATTGGTTAATGGGATTGTCTCGCAGATGAATAAAAAATCTCCAGTTCTACTCAAACCTGACTCTACTTAAGCATCAAAATATTGTCGTTATTTGCTCAGTACCACTACTCAACCATGTAGGACTAGCTAAAGAAACAGCTAGAAAGCAATGTAACTAATTAGGGTTTGCTGGAAAACATTATGAGCAAACTTTTCTAAGGAGAAAATAAATGAAAGTTATGACTAGGGGACCTTCAAAACTACAATAATTGATGCAAGGCTACTCCAGGTGACTAACCTGTATGGTAAATTATCCAAAATTTTTATTAACCAAGAACTAACTTTATAGCAGAGCATGGTAAACATCTCGCACTCAGATTTCTAAATCATAAAATCAAGCACTCATATGTTTGAATCAAAGAAACTCTGGTTCAGAATTGAAATAAAAAGTTCTGTCTCAGTTAATAACTTTTTATCAAGGGTCTCCACATCTCAGCCAGTATTGGATTTTCACAAAAGACTCACTCAGGGTGATATAAGTCACATGAACCCTGCATTGTTCAACACCACAATAAACAATGTCACATGCATCCTGTCTGCCAGACACAGTATTAAATAGGAATTTACTTTGAATTTATTTTGAAAAATCATATATTTGTCATGAGCACACATCAGAGAAAAAATTTCAAACACTTAGGAGGATTTTAATCGAAGCATTGTCCCTGTTGCAGGCTCTAATGCCAGGCGTTTCAGAACTTGTTAATTGGGAAAACCACATAATGAGGGTATTTACCATGACAGACCTCACTGGCCAGACTGAATCACTAAGGAAGAAAACACTTCTGTTTGGCCCCCTCAATCGATATTACAGAAATGTAACCACTCTTAGATGAAATTTCAAACAAAATCAAAGAAAACTCTGATAAAAATGGATCAATCGATTTTCTGGCCAACAAATTACAACAGATCATAGGAGCCTTCTGTTATGTAATAAGCATTCTGCTCACTAGGAGACAATCAGGTCAAAACACCTATGTGGAGATTAATGAAGAGGGATGGGAAATTTTTCTGTTTATACCAAAATACAGAAAGTTACAAGTAGAAAAATGTTTGAAATGTAGGTTTTTTTCAGTAAAAAGTTTTCATCGTCTGACACTAATTTTTTTCAATACATTTGTATGCAGGAATAAAACTTATGCTTACATGCCTCATTTCGGCTTTGGTGAAATTATCAAGGGAAAGTAAATTCCTGAACTCTGATCATGGCTTGCTAAAAGAACTACAGCGAATCACTATACAGCATATTTATGTAGCCGTGAGTAAAAAGTAAATTTTAAAGCTTAGAAAACTATCAGAGATTGGTGAGAAACCCTCTAGGAATAATCCAACCCAAAAGCATCTTCACTCATCCAGTCAAGGCAAGATTACATCATCACAAACTAATTTGAACAGGTTGATTACATTTTGTGGAACAATATGACCAAAATATACAATAGAAAAATATCACGCGAAGTATTGAGGAACTGATGAAATTTTAATAAATGCGTGATTTGTGAACAAGACAAGCGGTAGTTATTCGAAGTGCGACACATGTAATAGCGAAGGTCACGTATGCGATGTGTTAAGTAATCATAAGCAATGCTAGACATTAAAACTATGCATGTGTACTTCATAACTACATCGATTATCTATAAACCAAATTTGGGTGCCTTGTTACCAAATGTAAAATTGCAAATCGCTGCAAGACAATGAGTTGCGCTACGGAGAGCGTAGCTTTGGACAATCGATTCGTTTGCGCTACATGTAGCGATTTTACGTACTAGTCTCGGCTGGGAGTTTCCAAATACCGACACATTGGCGAACTCGACCAGGCAGAAAAAGCATATTTAAAAGAATGTGAGCGCGATCAATCGAAAAGCGTAAAGATATAACAATACTTCACTTACCTTTACAGCATTTTCTTGAACGGACGTCCGCGTTCAGCTTCCCTTGAATACTCTAAAGTCCTCTTTGAAGAAACTTGAGAAGAAATAACTCATCATCATTCGGCATTATGAGCTTGGAATCGAGGCTGGGACGCAGTTCGATGGTTTCTTCGCGGGGGAGGGGTGAGGAATAAGCTGCATGAGCGGGCAAATATAATTTTCCAAAACAGGAATTAGGTGTAATTTTTTGTTACTACAATAAAGAAAACTGTTCGTAGGAGCACCTTCTTCAATGACCAAATGACGAATTGATTAAAACCTATTTATGCAATGACGTACAGAGAAAAGCTGGTGGCACACAGAGGTCAAGTCTGGTCACGTTCAAAACACGATAAACGTTTAATTATTTCGGTCATGCTCACGTTTCAAATGTGAACACTGGCCACATGGGCCGCATTGAAGGTAAAGCGGAAAACTCGATGCACGACCGTGTCATTTCATCCGTGCTATTGGTATGAAGGTGTTTTGTATTTTTAAAGAGAAAATAATAAATAAACTGAAAATAAAAAATGAACAGTTTCAGCCTGCAAGAGGACTTTAGGTAACACCCACGCGAGATAGGAGACACGCGGGAACTTTCGAGCTGGTGTCTTCTTCTCGGTCACTTGCGCTATCTGCGTGAAATTTAATGATTTGGACCCGAATTAAGCAAAGATATGAAAATCAAATATTTAAGCCTGAAAAATGAAAACCAGATTGACGCATAATTTTGTATCATCAATTAACAGCAGGAGCAAATGGAACACTAAAAGAGATTATTGCGAATAGCGCAAATATTTTGAAAGCTTCTTAATCCCCAACTTCTCACAGAATAATTTTGTTTATTCTGCGTTATTGTAAACTTCCTCGTGGCCATTTTCTAACAGCACTACCACAATAAAGCTATAATATCAAAGCTATTTCAGAGTTCCCAAAAAGTCGTTGGGTCTCTTCGTTCATGTTTCATATTTCTTAGGCGACACGATAGTATATGCAAACAGGAGAAAACTTCTGACACAAGGAACAACAAAGTTTTTTTTCATATTATTTTCATCAACCTTTTTCGAAGAGACTTCGAATTTTCATCATAGTTTGCTGACCTACGAAAAGCAATGACGCAAAAAAAAAACAACAACAACAACGACGGCACGTTGATATGTTGCTTTGGTGACCTTTCCAAAGCTGATTCAAATAGAGTAATAAAGAAGCTGAAGTGGTGGTGATTTTCCTGAGATAATATAAAATCCGATTTGAGTAATATTGAACGAAAGTGATGCATTAAAATCATTCATTCCACTGAAACAGCTGGCTTGTCTCCTTATACCTATCTTTCCCCTCATGAGTAATGTCCCACTGTCTCCCCTCTCTCTCAATTCCATGCATGCATGCAGCCTGAAAGATTAGTGACAAAACAGGTCTCACCATGGAGAAACTTCTAGCTTACGTTATTTTATTTCTGCAACCGACCGTGAAAGATTGCCCTCTACAGTTTGAACGTCTGAGTGTTGCATTTCTTCATGTTCTTCACGCTGCGAACAACTGGCTAGATCTATCCCGATGTGGTTATGAGTTTTTCGAGGGATGCATCCAGTAGCACGCCGAGTGAGGGGATTTTTCGTTTCTTCCAAGGCAGTCATGATGGAATTAATCACACCAGATACCACACACAGACCGAACATGCAATACAATGACGCCAATACATTGTGGATAACCGAGTAAATGGTATCCTCTGAGTGAGCTACTCTAAATTTGCTTCCTTCCTGCCTTGAGGAGTTTTTTGAAAATAATCTCTCGAGACTTTTGATTCCGGATTTAGTATGTAAAACATAGTCTCCAAAACCGATTGTAGAAAATGTTATAAAAGAATAATATACTCCTTCGTCAAAAGTCCAACCTAAAAGATACGGTACCAAAGATCCATATGCCGTCATCAGCAATATCATCGACGATACCAAAACAACAGCAGTCTTAGTTTGAATATGTTTCGGCTCCAGTGTATTCAAGAATTTCTTTTCGAAACGTCTGACTTCGGCATTAACACGGCTGGTAATCAGCTCCCCAATGGATTTTAACAAGAGCAGGGTGATAGGAATCCCATATAAACAAACAATGATGCACAAAATTCTGCCTGAACATGTTTGAGGAGTGATGTACCCGTAACCTGTAAAGGAAATATTGAAAAATCTAATATTACATAGGTGATTGTTTTACGGACAACACCATTGCAGGAAGGTGACTGCTTTGGAAAGACTGTTGTTCAGAGGACGCTCCATATAAAATTAAGGAAAGGTTTCTACAGTGGAGTAATTTTAAAGGGAGTGTAGATGGACAGTAATCCAGGATCATGTTAGGTTCTCTTTACTCCCCACCGCGATTGTTCCAGAAAACTTGCTCCATCTCTCCACCAATCAGATGGGAAACTAAAGCCAATCATGACTTGCTCCTCCTGGTTTTTCCCACCCTCCAGGGAGTTTGCTTATTTTCACATTGAGTTCTCGCTGACCCCTGGAGACATGATCTTGTTTTAGTCTGATAGACCTTTGTTATAGCTTTGCTTTTGGTTTTACGAAATTCAATCGAAAATTGCTATCGGCGGTATCTGTCATAATAACACTTAAGAGGAGTTGTTTACTTTGGGTTTGCGACTGTTTCTTGACAGGACTTTTAGTGTCAAATAACTGTATTCGAGAGAGGTCACTGCTATAAATAATCTAGAAAAACACCTAGAAAGAATCGTTAAACTGGGAAAATTTCTTCAACTTCTCTTGATAGACGCCCTTTCTTACCTATGGTGGACCAAGCTTGAAAGACAAAATCAAGGGCAGACGAAAAGGTCCACTTAGGTTTCGGATCACTTAGGGCCTCGTGTGCGATATGAGAGAAGTTAATGAACTCTTCGGTGGTTATATTGTATTTAGATATCATGAATTCTTGCAGGGAGTGCAACACTTGATACTTTGTTTCTTCCTCGTCTTCCTCCGTGTACTCCACTTGCAGAAAGAGCCAAGCGCTGGGAAGGAGAAATAACAAGTAAAGCAGTGTTCGCAACAGTACTTTTTTGAACAGTGGGTCCATGTCTGGAAACTGCCACTTGTCTGTTCGAGCTCTCTGTAATGTTAGCTGGGAAAACATCACAAAAATAATTGTCTAAACATACGGAGAATGAAAATGGTGCTGAAATCAGTTTGTATTAGAATGGAACACGTACAAGTTAAAATTGTGACTTCAAAGTTAAATACAACAAAGAAAAAATGAATAATTGCCTGAGTCTCTCCCTAGCGGTTGAGGATTTTTTATTCCATGAGATGGAAATACATACCCGTCTTATTGTCATCATCACCTTCTTTTATTTAAAGTATTGTTATCAAACAACAGGATTAAGGACATCTGAACCCTTTACGTGGGAAAGCTAACTCTGTTATTGTTCAGCTTTGGCAGAAGGTGCAAAATCTTCTAAAAAAGTACTAAAGGGGCCCTATTAGGGGTTATCAGGATACAAGATATTTGGGTAAAAAATTACAGGGATACGGGATATTCGGGAGGAAAATTAAAGGGATAAGGGGTATTTAAAAAAAGATTCTGGGATATCGAAGATCGAAGTTCTCATTTTTTTAAAATAATGAAATAAGTTTATTAATCAATATAGAAGGTGCAAATAATTGAAAATTGCTTTCAAATGTGATTTTTTTACATTTTGCCATCAAATATTGTCAATATTGTCAATAGGTGCCAATATCGGCTCTTGTTCAAGAACAACTCTTCAACTCTTCCCCTCCCCCACGGCTTTTTCCATTTTGCACCACTTTCTCGGTGACTCATTGCTTTGAATTCACCTCAGTCCTTTAGCAATTCTTTACAAAATGTTACTTAAGAGCATACCATCGATAAACGTGATGTCTTATTTGCACGTAATTTCTTTTTGAAATACAAAACGCTCCAGGAAAATGTGTTTTCGTTATCAGGTACCAAAACATTTTACGCTCAATGACGTCATCATGGTAACTGGCGTTATCGGGATACGAATCACAAGAATGAACCGGATACGGGATATTTTGGCCAAAAATTAATGGGATACGGGATACTCAGACCCCCCTAATGGGACCTCACAAAATCTATTTGACAACCTATGCGTGGCAAGTCACTTCAACTTAAGGTTTTGTAATTTTTTCCTTCCTCTCCTTTTATCCTTACTTTGAATTTAATCAAAATCGTTGAAGTCTTGGTCTTACTCACCATAAAAAAAAAACAATTTCTAAAAATATGTACAGTTATTATGCTCATAGTCGAGTTAAAAATGTGTATCTAGTTTTTCTTCAGCACGAAAGCTGAAATATCTGATTCAAAGGAGTTGGTCTCGGCGCAACGATCGCGGTAATAAAAAAGTTGGTAAAAATAGTTCAGTGGTACATTTTGTTTGAATACTGGTTAAATTTTACATTCTTCAATTTATTTAGCGATGAAAAGAAACAGAAATACTAATTATTAAAGTCAAAGATTGTTAAGTGAGTTCAAAGGAATATGATTCGAACCAGAAAATACGAAATTAATTGAGTTTTCCAAAGTTTTGGTCTCAATCAAATATTTTTGTAAGAGATCGTTGATTCATTACATTCATTCTTATAAACACTGAATTTACCAACGAACTTACCAATTTCGAAGTATTGGGAAAAGACATACGAGAACTTCATTCACTAAATTATCTGTGGCCGTCCTATTTCATGGATAACAATCAAAACCCAGCGGTGGGGACAGCTGTTTGAGATATTGAATTTACTCCACTCAATAGAACTTCCTGAACACAAAAATGAAATATGTTTGGTATTGATATAAGATTGACAATTTGTCCGTCAGTGGTACAATTTTTAATTATAACTCAACGTGCATCCTTCTATATTTAAGAGTAATAGTATTACCGATGATAAACACTCTCTCCAGTTGTTTTTTGTTTTGGATTTTGTGTTTTTATAACCACCGAAATATAATTTTAAATGACATCTAAAGTAAAGGAGACAAATGAATTACTAAACATGGATTACTAAATAAAACTGCATATCAGTTCAAGTTCTTTAAATTTCTGTTAACTAATTCCGTTACCTGTTACATAAATTTTGTAGACGTTCTTTCTTATTGATATTTATTTTCTCTCGAAATATCGAGCCAATTTTGTTGTTCCTAACCATTCTTTTATACCATGACCCGGTTATTTAGGAAAATTCAGTATGATAGAATGATAAACATCAGATTTTCTTTCTCATACCTTAATTGTTTTCTACAGCCATTTGATAAGAGTAATATAAATGGGTGTACGAGATTTTTGGCTAAAAGAGGTGTTTCGTACGGATTAAAAGTTAACTTACACAATCTGTGGGAGTCTCAAGTCGAATACTTACACATTAAAGGTGAAGTATTCTATCAAGTTTTGGAGGCTTAAATCTATACTCAGGTATTTTAAAGGAATCTTTGCTAACTTAAATGCTACTCGTGAATAGCTCTAATGAGCACCCTTTCTGTAGTAGAGCTGACTAGGCCCAAGCACTGAGTTCGGCTTCTCGTTTGCCAGTTTCCAAGGATTCGAAAGTTGGTCCATCTTACACAAGACCCATTCATGTTCAAATATATCATGCTTTTTCACCCCTTAAGAGATTCCAAGACTTCTAAGGTTACTAAAGAACGTGCTCAAGTGTTCTGCTGTTCTATTTGGTTAAAGCTTGTTAAGACGGATAAAAATCTTTTTCCAAATCTTGCTACCATGGAACTCAAGACCTTGATGTAGGACACTGAAAATTTTGCACACTACTTTCGTGGGAGTCTCGCGTTTTGTTCGTAAAACATCCAAGACATCGAGGGCGACATTTGCTTTCCTCGACGGCAGCCATAATGGAATTTATTACACTGCAGACAATGCTTAGACTTAAAATGTATACAGATATAAACAAAACGCTGGAAGGTATGTGGAAAGCTTGAAAAGACTCGGCATTCTCATTTCCTTGATATGTAGAGTTAGGCAACGTTAGCTTCTTGATCCTATAGCTGGGTTGGAACAATACATAGTCGCCAAAACCGATTGTGGAGAATGTTACGAACCAAAAATATGCTCCTTCGACGAAAGTCCAACTCAAACCTCTTCGTTCTCGACGCCATCTTGATGCCGCGCAACAGATTATCATAATTGTTATCATAGATAATCCCAAAGTAACGGCGGTCTTAATTTTAACATGTTTCGGCTCTGGTCTTCCGAGGAATTTCCTTTCAAATTTGGTGAGAATTTTGCTGATCAATTTGGCGATCAACTCGCCGACGGAATTCAACGTGAGCAAGGTTATTGGAATTCCAAGTAGAGACACGAAGATACACAACATCTGACCTTCAGGCGTTTGAGGGGTAATGTATCCATAACCTGTCGAGAACATGGATTATGGATTAATTGCTAGCGTATAGATCTTCGTAACTGGGTGATTGTTCGACTAACGCGTGACATAAGAACTAAGGGCAACGACAAAAATACAGGGAAAGATTATCAGAAGAAGGTTGGTGCTCAAGGGAACTAAAAGGCTCATCGAACCACTTTTGTGGGAGCATTCAAAGATTCCTTCATTAGAAATGCATAAGGTGATTTCCGCAATTAGAAAGCTTTAAGTAAGGGAAGGGTTGATGAGAAATATGAAAGATTTTACAAGATCTTGTCGAGCTCTATGGTATAACACTATTCCCTTTGGTAGACAGACTTTCCAGTTCTATTGGGAAGCATTTGGGTTAGCTCCTTTAGGGCATGTCTGCTTTACGAAGAAGAAGAACTTTGTGGCCATAAAATGTTCCAAGAAGTATAAAGGAAATGTACGTCCGCTGACATTGTCATACATTACCTAGTCAATAAGAATATATCATAAGACTGAACATAGTCGGCAGAAAAAACGGATATATATCTGCCTTATATTTACCTATGGTGGTTATAGTCTGCACGACGAAATCAATGGCATGAAGATAGGTCCACTTTGGCTTTGGCATTCTTAAAGCTTCGTACGCAACGCCGCAAAACTTGTTGAATTCTTCAAGAGACATGTTGCATTTAGACCCCATGGACATGAACAAAGAGGACAACAACTGATATTTTTCCTGTTTGTCGTCCTTTTCTGTGTACTCCACATGAATGAATAGCAAAGAACTTAAAGAGACTAGCAAGAAGAAGCCAAAAGTTCGAAGAAGTGCTGTCTTCAAAAGTGAGTTCATGTTCAAGATTACGGTGATCGTTGTAAGCTGGATTACTGTTTTATTGTGTTAATCTCAGGACACGCGTATCAGCTGCTTAAGCTTGATAGTAGTCAAATCCTGAAAAAAAAACGTATCGTCAAAGTACGTGGGAACTACATTTCAATTTAGGTTTACTAAAAAATTTACTAAAATCGATGTTTTATCATGTCGTAACAACGGAACATGTACAGTGAACTGACAGTGTGTGGATATATCCGATAGACGTTTAGTTACGCTCAATGTTACATTTTTTTTTCCAATCAGTATAATTTTTTAACCTTTATCCTAATACTTTTTCACATATTTTGTAGCTGAGCTTCCTGTATTATCATCGGCTCATTCGCTCCAGATAATTTTTACTATTATCAATATCTTATCGCAGAACCAGCCTTTTTTTGTTTGTGTACATACAAACTGAAAATCACAATTTGATAAAACTATATCTTTCACTTGTTAACGATAAGACCAAGGTTTTCTTCTTTTTACCCATATTAAATAAAAGTTTTGCTACTTTGAAAAAATAAGCAGAAAGGAAAAAGGTTTGTCTCCACGAGGACATCACCCTATACACCAACTCAATTCATCTTAACGTTTACCTTCTCATATTTATCATCACTCACTTTAAAAAAATTTAAAGGCCTCAGAAATTTAATTTCCGACTAGTTTTAGGTATATTGAAAGACATAAACTGTTTTCTTTTTTTTAGTTATTACGTGGTGTATACTAAAACAAACCACCTACACTCTTTGGAGAGTAAGTGTTAATTATTGCTCGATTCTTTTTCACGAAACCTGTTTGACTAATGGCCGTGTTCTTTCGAGTTACTCTCTAGCTTAAGGATAAATTGGTCAACTAAACTAAAACTGTAAGAAATTTCTTCACGGTACACATCGTCTCACTCATTTAAGATGTAAGTGTTAAGTTCCAACAGGAGAAGTGACACTATTATTTAATTTTGTCTATCAGTAATCATCTATGCAGACACAAACCCTTCCATCGCCAAATTTACTTTAGATATTCCAACGTTTTTGGTCTCAGTCAAAATGTTTTTTCAAGAGATCGTTAATTCGTTACATTACTTCATATAAACACTGAACTTACCAACGGACTTACCAATTTGGAAGTATTGAGAAAGGATATACGAAAACTTCGTTCACTAAATTATCTATGGCCGTCCTCATCCATGGATAACAATCAAAACTCAGCAGTAAGGGCAGCTGTTTGTGATATTGAATTTAATCTATTATTGTCCGTCAGCGGTACAATTTTTAATTATAACTCAACGTACAATTGTTTTTTAATTTTGGTTTTGTGTTTTGGTAACCTCGGAAAAATAATATTTAATGACCTGTAAAGTAAAGGAGACAAATGAACCTCTCGTTGGACATGGATTACTAAGCAAAGCTGTATATCAGTTCAAGTTCACTAAATTTTGGTCAGCAAATTCCGTCACCGTTTACATAAATATTATAGGCGTCCTTTCATATTGATATTTATTTTTCAATTTTCACACGAAACGTCGCGCCAATTTTGTTTTTACTAACCAAACGGGTATAAGAGAGGCGAGGTTTAATGCGTGTGAAAAGTCAAGTCAGACAATCCGTGGCAGTCATCGGTCTTATAAATACACGGCTATTACAAGCCTGACAGTGCATGCTTTTATTAAGTCTTAAACGCACAAACTCACAATCACATGCCCATACTAAGAGTGGGTATCAGTCGGTTTCGCTTCTTGTCGAGTACGCTACGTTATAGTTCGCTACATGTTCGCCACTTACATACCGAATTTGCTACTTACTTCATCCTACCATTCTATCAAAAAAGACTTTTATGGCAGACCTAGAAAAACGGGATCAACATCAGTATCTGAACAACTCCCCAACTACCCCTCCCCTAGCCCAACATTAACCCTAACTTGTTATCAATTGACTGTTGTTGGGTTAGGGTAGGGGTAGATGGGGAGTTGCCTAGATACTGATATTGATCCGAAAAACGAATATTTATGGCTAACCCCTCTAACCTTTGGTCTGGAAGATATATATTGATGACATCTTCTCACCGTTGGACATTTCTATGAAAGAAGCTTCCAATTTTGTTGACTTCGCCAATTCTTTCTACCCAACAGTCAGGTTTACTTGTGAAACGCAACCTCGGAACAATCACAAAAATCAACGATGCGGTTAAAAGCAAACTAGAAGGGAATTTGCATATGACCAGTTTAACTGACTCCTAAAAACGGCAGCCACGCAGTTGGGAGTATAAAGTACAGATATTGCTTGTGGTTTATGATTAAAAGAGAAATTAAAATTGAGAATTAACAGACGCAGCGAATTCGGCATGTTAGTAGCAAACATGTAGCGAACTCGACGAGTAGCGAAACCGGCGCGTAAAGTTAAGAGTACTGCTAACACAAATGCTATATTGCTGTACAGCTGTGAGCATCTTTTCCGGGCCTCGCTCGCCTCGCTCACTAAGTTCGGCTCCTCGATTGCCAGTTTTCAGGGGTTTAAAAGTTGGTGCATCCTGCACTAGACTCATTCATGCTCAAATATATCATGCCTTTTTACCACTCCAAGAGATCCCAAGATTTCGCCTTATTAGGCTCCAAGAGCGTTAGAGAGATTCAGGAACGTTGACCTCCGAACATAAGGAAACATGCGGTGCTCAAGTGTTTCGCTGTTATGGATTGATTAAGGCTCGAGAGGAAGGACGAAAATCCTTATCCAAATCTTACTACTATGGAACTCAAGACATTGCTGCGTGGTTCTGGCCATGTTGCTCAGTGTTTTCATGGAAGTCTCGCGTTTTGTTCGTAAAACATCCAACACATCGAGGGTGACATTTACTCTCCTCGATGGCAGCCATGATGGAATTTATTACACTGCAAACAATGCTTAGACTGAACATGTATATAGTTACGAAAAAAAGGCTGGAAGGTATATGGAAAGCTTGAAAAGATTCGGCATTCTCGTTTCCTTGGTATGTAGAGTTAAGCAACGTTAGTTTCTTAATCCTATAGCTGGGTGGATAAAATACATAGTCGCCAAAACCAATTGTGGAGGATGTTATGAACCAAAAATATAATGCTTCGACGAAAGTCCAATCCGATTCTCTTCCTTCTTGTCTCATTACTGACACTGTGCCACACACCATCATGATTGTTATCATAGATAATCCCAAAATAGCGGCGGTCTTAATTTTAACATGTTTCGGCTCTGGTCTTCCGAGGAATTTCCTTTCAAATTTGGTGAGAATTTTGCTGATCAGTTTGGCGATCAACTCGCCGACGGAATTCAACGTGAGCAAGGTTATTGGAATTCCAAGTAGAGACACGAAGATACACAATATCTGACCTTCAGGAGTTTGAGGGGTAATGTATCCATAACCTGTCGAGAAAATGGATTATGGATTAATTCCTAGCGTATAGATCTTCGTAACTAGGTGATTGTTCCTCCTATGCGCGTGCCTTCAGAATTCAGGGCAACGACAAAAATGCAGGGAAAGATTGTCAGAGGAAGGTAGGTGCTCTAGGAAAGTAAGAGAATCGTCCAACCTCTCTTATCAGAGAATTCAAACATTTCTACTTTACAAATGCATAGTTTGGTCTGCGTAGTTAGGTAGTCTTAAGTAAGAGAAGGGTTAATGAGCAACATGGAAGATTCCACAAGGCTTTGTTCGGCTCTATAAAATAATCCTATTTCCTTGAGATGTCTTTCCGAATCTGTTGGGTAGTGTTTTCCGAGGTTACATTATTGCAAGCTCCTTTAGGGCATATCTGTCTTGGGAGGAAGAAAAAAGTTTGTTCCCATATGATGTTTCAAGAAGTGTAAAGGAGACGTACCTCACATTGTCAAACATGACCTAGTCAATAAAAATCAGATATAACACAAGAATGAACATAGTCGGGAGAAAAAACAGATGCATATCTGCCTCATATTTACCTATAGTGGTTACGGTCTGCACAATGAAATCAAAGGCATGAATATAGGTCCACTTTGGCTTAGGCATGCTTAAAGCTTCATACGCAACGCTGCAAAACTTGTTGAATTCTTCAAGAGACATGTTGTATTTAGACTCCATGGACTTGTACAAAGAGGATAACAACTGATATTTTTCCTGGTTATCGTCCTTCTCTGTGTACTCCACTTGAATGAATAGCAAAGGACTTAGAAAGACTAGCAAGGAGAAGCCAAAGGTTCGAAGAAGTACTTTCTTCAAAAGTGAGTTCATGTTGAAGATGATCGGTGTAAGCTGGATTACTGGATTACAGCGTTAATCTCTGGACACGACAATCAGCAGCTTGAGCTCGGTAGAAGTCAAATCCTAAAAATTAGGTTGGGGTTTCTGAGTTCTCACTTGCAAATCTTAGAACTGATTTCAAGCATCATCAAGTTGACATAGACCTTACATTCACTGCCGTTTGCGCTTCCTCCCTGAGAAGAACGTGGGAACTTATTCCATCATCTCTCCTATTAGGAAAGGAAATCATTCTGCTTGTGTGAGTTTTCCCATGTGGTAATTACAACCGGCCGGCAAAAAGCACCCTAGCCTAATTGATTATGGTAAAAATATAAAATATAATTAAAATATAAATGAGCTTCCTCTATTATCATCGACTCCTTCGCTCTAGATTGTTTTTATTGTTGTCCAGAACCCTTTTTTGTTTGTCTGCATACGAACTGAGAATTACAATTTGCTAAAACTATAGAATACACCAGTTAACGATATCGCCGAGGTTTTCGTCTTTTCAGCTATCCAAAAGACGAGCTACGGTGGTTTAATACAATAAGTAAAATCGGATAAGGTTTCTCTTCACAAGGGCATTACTCTATGCACCAACATTATTAGGCAATCTTTCTGTTTACAATTTCACATTTATTATCACTTACTCTGAGAGTTATCAAGGTCTCGTATGAGATTCATTCAGTACGAAGCTGTTCACAGGCTTTTTTTCGACGTTCCCTGGCAAGGCGATATCAAAATAGTATTGAATGACATGTCTTGCGTATTACTGTAAGCTTGTGAACGTAAAATGATGATGCAGCTGGCGTACGTTAGATAAGCTATGCGAGAATTGACCGAACAATGAACTTCTTTAAATGAACTTTCATGAATTTTGAAAATTGATCAACACAGAAATTAATTTTTACATCCTTTTATTTATATTGTGGCTGAAATTTTTTAAACCAGTCGAATTTTTATTTTCTTTGGCCTGTTCACTATCATAATCTGAAACAATAATCTCCCATAAAAATTGATTTTTTCTCTTTCTTTGGATTATGATTGTTATAATGAATGCAGGTCAAGAGACATTCAAATGTTTTAAAAAAATTCAAATCAATAAAAAACTATGAAGCCCAACATTAAGTTTCATTTGGGAACTTATTTAAAGAAAGGGATTTTCTCTCTTTCTTTCTCTAAGGCTATGAATGGAAAAACGAATATATTACCTCCAGCTCAACCAGCTGTTAATTGACTTTTTCAACCAAAAACACCTCGACAGCAGTTTCAAGAAAACCTCAACTGATATTTCTGAACAGTGGTTAAAAGCGATATGAACACAACTTTTTTCGTTCTCGTCTCTGTCAAGTCATATTCACGTTCTTAGTAATTACACTTGTCAGGACAGAATTGTCAATTATTTATATAAGTATGGAAGACTTGTCAATCCCTCATGTGAGGATAAACTGGCAGGTGTAAGAATTTCACAATTGAACTTATTCCTCTTCATTGTCATCATCGATCTGTGTGTTGTTTCATTGTCAATTTTTTTAAGGTATTGTTTTAATTCAAAGGTGTCAAGTTGTCCTCATTTCACATCCTGTCCTTGACAAGTCTTCACTATCAACATTTTATTTCAGTTGGTTCTAGGCAAGAGGAACTTTCAATGTTGTCATATTTTCCCATCTGTACTGCGAGGGAAATATTGCCGCGGGACAACACACATCAAGGAGAATCCTTCAACAAGTAAACATGGTACTTTTATTTTAAGTAGCCCTCAGGGTCCTTTTCTTTTAGAAGCGCTTTGTTTAATTTTCAAATTTATTCAAAGCTGAGAAAAAAAATGTGCGTAACCAAAAAATCATAGCTGCATCGTCACCACGAACGACTAAAGAAAGAGAAAGTTCTCTTAGTTCTCTCGTTGATAAAGAAAGAAAAAGCCGAATGAATAACTTTACTCTTATTTCAGTCTGGTTCCTTCGACATAATGTCATTAGCAGGTAAAACTGGTTAGAGAATCACTGCCATCATGATCTGGAGAAAGTTCTTCTTTTTGAGAAATTTTAAAGGAAAATAAGGTTTTTCTAAACTGCGCCAGGGCTTTCATGTGCAACTTTGATGTCAAGCAGATTTCATTGCTGATAAACAGTCAGTTATAGTTCAGTTAAGTAGCACATGTTTTGAGTGCCATTTTCTTGCCTTTTTGGAGTGCAGTTAGGCTCCGCATTGTTCACCTCATCCCGGGTTTTTCTAGAGGCACACATGGGACAGGCACGATGGAACTTCAATTCCTCCATAGCCGCCATGACGGAATTGATTACGCTTGAAACAACACATAAGCCAATCATTGCATAAATAATCATGAGCATATGGAAAAAACCTTTTCTGGTGCGTTGTTCCGAGTGGAACTTTCGTTTCTCTGGAACGTAATCACCAAAACCGATTGTAGTCAGCGTAACGAACCAGAAATACACACTTTCAACAAAAGTCCAACCTTGTGTACTCATAACTAACCGGCCGTTTGCCACAATAAATATCACCATCAGGAAAAAGAGGATCACAGCGCTCTTTGTTTCTACTTTTTCCGGATGCGCTCTTTTGAAAAGTTTGCTTTCAAACTTTGTTACAAGCGCGTTGACAAGTTTGGCCATTAAATCGCCAACAGACTTCAACGCGAGTAATGTAATGGGAATCCCAAGAAGACAAATAAAAATGCACAATATCTGACCAGCAGGTGTTTGAGGAGTGACGTATCCATAGCCTGCAAATAACAAAATGCAAAGTTATTGTCTGCACTGTACCTTATCTGATGAAATTAAGCAATCATGGGTTAAAAATCATGAGCTTCAGTAATCAGTTCGCCACTTGCTACTGATTTAACTTGTTCTTTATCATCGGGGTAATTATCCTATACAAAACATAGGGGTGATTGATATAATTTTTTTAATTTTTCAATTCCCTGACACGGCACCTGTTTGATTCGTAGCCGTAATCTTTCGAGCTACTTCTCCTAGGTATTTTTGTCATGAATAATTTGGCCAATAGTACTAAGATTGTAAGAAATTTTTTCATGGTGCACAACTCGTCACCGAGTCAATAATATATTCTAACTGGAGAAGTGATTCCATTTCTTCATCCTGTGCATCAATTATCATCCATGCAGACACAAACCCTTCGATTGACAAAGTTACTTTAGCTCATGATGGTCTGATTCTTTTTACGAATGAAATCGCCATTTTTCCTTGTTCTTACACAAGTTTGCTGAGTCTCATTTCGAGAAGATATTCCTTACCTACGGTAGTGAAAGCTTGTAAGACGAATTCCAAGGAAACAAAATACGTCCACCGTGGTTTAGGTTGGCTCAGAGCTTCATGCGCAATGCTGGAAAAATTATTAAATTCCTTGATGGTCATATTGAATTTAGATGCCATGGAAATGTACAGGGACTTTAACAAGTGGTCTTTTTCTTTTTTGTCATCTTTTTCCGTATATTCCACAAAAGAAAACAACCAAGCACTCAAAGAGGCCCATAATATGAATCCAAAGGTGCGAAGAAGCACAGTCTTCCACAGGTAATCCATAGCGGACACTTTAGTTCAAACATACACCTGCATCAAAAGGAAAAGGAACTATTTTCAAAACATTTGAAAGTTTTTTTCTTGAAAAAATGTTCGATATAAGATGACACCGATACCTAAGAATAAATGAATAAATATGGTATTCATCAGCCGTATTGAGAAAAACTGTGCCCGATACCGCCCAAGGCCGAAGGCTTTTTCCTAAAACATAACGAAATGCTTGCCAAAAGAACCCGAATGATTAAGGGCTGTAAAGATCCTCCAGAAAGATGAGAGGATTAATGAGTTTTTTTTTATCGGCCTGAAGTCGTGTTTGAGTTCTTTGCTTAAAAATACTGCCCAGCCCGCAAAATAACATATATTAATGAAAAATGGCAACGAAACTAGGGATGTACTCGGCGACTCACGAAAGCGTTACCGTGCCCGCAAGCAGAGATAAAGTTTAAGCAAATATTTAGTCCCTACAAAGGGTGAGCCTTTGCAACCAGGCCAGATGGACAGAAAAATACTTTATATCTGACATACTGTTGACAGAATGTTTGACACTCGATAGTACTTTAAAATTATAATGGAAACGTCAGTTTTTAATGGAAAGGATGCTACTGATAGCTTAGAATAACAGGAGTCAGTTCAAAACAGACAACGGATTTAGCCTTAAAGATGATGAATTTTTGGCCCAAAAGGCACTGATAAACTTCTTAGAGGAGTTAGTGTTCGACATATACGAAACCATTGATACCATAGGATGAATTTGGTCGGTCAAAAATGCGTAGATTTTCATGAAACAAATAGGTGCATTTAGAAACCCACACCAGCCTAGATCCACTAGTTCATCCACCAGCATCTTATGAACCAAGCAATAATTTCACCAAATACACAAAAAATTACTACCGTTTTGGCGCAAATGGAGTTCCACTAAGCCTGCTTGGTGCTGTTAAAATCTTAGGAGCTGAACGGATCGGAAACTTTCGAAGATAAGACAGGAAGTTGGAAAGGGCTCTCATCATACATCTTCTTTTTGGTAATCTTCTAACAATCGTTATATAATTCAAGTTCACTTTCGAAGCTGATCTATGCCGGAACAGTAGAGATAAATCAACGACACTGAGAGTAGTCAGCTTAAAAAAAAGACATAATTTGACGTCTTAATGGCTTTACTACTTGTCTTAAAAAGCTGTAAAGTTTATAACTGTTTGTCCATAATTCTGTCTGTTAAAGGTTTCTTGGAGGTGACGACGGCACTCAATTAAAATGGGAGCGGATATTTTTATGGCGAACGCCAATAAATCTCATTATGGAAAAGTAGTATGGAAATTAACTGCCCCGCAGTGAAATCAAACAAGGATTGTATGATATTTTATGAACCTTAGTTTGTTGTGTTTGCCTGGTTAAAACAAAAATTAATTCATTATGGCAGGTGATCCACTCTTATGATCACCTTATTGTGTTTCTCTAACTGTCTAGCTTTAAAATCTATCACTTAACTTTTTCTCCTTGTTTTTATCTCCCCTGTATTCGAAGCAAATGAAACTTACTAACTATGTTGCCGCATGAATATGTTGGAATCGAGGGTACCTTTTACACACATCATCTTCTTAGATACACCGTGAACGTGTTGTTAAAATGACCCCAAATTCAACGTTATTCTCGTTTACTCGATGAATACTAACCAGATATGCTGAAACACTGGCTCCTAAATATTCCGTCGGCGATGCATGATCTTGTCACAGCAACTGAAAGAAATATAGTCCTATCAAACGTCAAAACATCTTTTCACTGAGCAATTTACTTCAATAAATGTTTACCTCCATTTGATCTTAATGAGTCAGTGTCTCTGCGTTTCAAATTGAAAGATCTGGAATTTTGTTTTCCCGTTCAATATGTATTTGCTCTAAGGCTACTGATTGCCATGGCACTCTTTAAGCTTGGAAAACATTTCTGGTGTCATCTAATTCTTAGATTTATAATTGAAGGCCTCTCGTTAGTGTTGGGCGCCAATCCGCTGCTTTTCAATAAAATAACCTTAATTCGTATTGTGTTAGAAACAACTATCCTATTTTTATTTCTTTTTCTTCTTTTTAAATATATCTATTATTCATCTTCGGATAACCTTTAACAACGGCTGCAAACACAACGAATGTATTCATTTAATGCATTGGCAATTGAACCATTATGTTCACGTCCCTTAGAAGCGCTCTTACGATCTGAATTAGATTGGCAACTAATGGAGGTGTATAAAAAGATTAAATATTGTTGCTTAGACCTAAAACATATTATTTGACATGATTAATGCATAAAATGGAATTTTTTGACACGGCCAAATTATTTGCATTGGTGTTATTTTTAATTACTTACTTAAAGGTACAAAGCCCAGTAAAAATTTCATTTCTGGCCAAGTTGCACAAGTATAAAAGTACACTCAGATATTGAAAAGCGAATATAATTTCCAAGTATGGGAATACTTAAGGATTAAAAATGTCGAGAGATTATACACTCGATTGCAACAACGTTGATACCTAAAGAGTTTGATCCCTGAACAATCTGACCCAACAGCCTTATGGGAAATGCTCGCATAGTTTCGTAATCAATGTGCTTTACCTATCCATTTTTCATGGACAATCTTTTTTTATGGTAATTCTTTTCTTTCAAGAAAGTGTGGGTAGCTTCTATTATTTACGACGCGCAACTTATTGTGGTTATCATTTACATGTGTACCCATAAGGCCGTTGGGCCTCATCATTCATAACCAATGTTTTCTAGATGTAAACGTTTTTCAATCGAATGTACATGCCAGCACTGGCTAATAAATCGTTGATAACAAAAGCAATGGGCCATAGACAACGTTATAAATCATGAATATGCAGACTATGTATGGTAACGTTTCAAGTTAAATCATTGGAGCCTTTCGGGGAGTCCGTCTTCGTTTATCATTTACATTAGTTATTTTTTGTTTTCTTGCTCGTATGAATGTAAATTTTTTTAAAGTGCAGCTGTTTAAGCTCTCTGATTTCTTTAAGTGTCGGTAACGCCTTTCCTTAACGTCCCTCTTATATGTTGGGCTAAAATGAGTGCAATTAAATTTTAAAATGAAAGGATGGATACAAAGTTTATCCAGTGTTTTTTTCCTTTTCTTTTAACTTTAAATTTAATTTTATGCCAATGAATTACATCGACGTTTCAAGCTACTACTTTCCCATATGGATGGCGCTGCTGGATAAAATTTATCTGAGTACGGAGGGTAGTGGCACGGCTAGTATCAATTTAAATTTGGTAAACTTAATTTTCGAAATTAAACCATTCTTGTAAAACGCAATTCGGTCATGAATTAGTACCGAAGGAAGTTTTGTGAGAGATTTCTTGATATTTTTTTTCATTGTTCGAGTTTTACAATTGGTAAGAAAGGTTTAATTTTGATTGGAATTCACAGAGAAACACCACACACCATACACACTTCAATCACACATCGATAAAAACAGTTACGTCATCGTTAGTGAGCTCGAAGCCGATAAAGATTCCGGTGTCCGAAAAAGAGCCGCTAGTGCGGGGTCGATCTACAATTAAATTAAAGAACATAGAGACTCCTATCAGTTTTCTGTGTTCTCAAGATTCTCCAAACCCAGATTTTCTATTCTTTTAGAAGTCATGTTCTCGTCATCAGGTTCTTTTACTGTGTCAACGCGCCCCTGTATCCTTCTAGATATACGTGCAGAACACTTAAACCACCAATTTCGTTCATCCAAGGCCGCCATGATGGAGTTAAATACACTGGAAACAATGCATAGTCCTCCCAAAAGAAGAACCAGTTCAAAAAGGCCTATAAAAATTGCGAAGCTGTTTTCTCTCGAGATATTGGTCGGATTGAGCTTCCCTGGAATGTAGTCACCAAAACCCATTGTTGTTACGGTTACAAACCAAAAATAAAGTGCCTCTACGAATGTCCAATCCTCTAGATGTATCAATACGAGAGCATTCATCACAATATCTAACACCATAAATAAAAACAAGATCATTGCACTTTTTTTTTCTACATTCATCGGTTCCTCTCTTTTAAGGATTTTACTCTCGAACTTCTTCACAAGTGTGTTGACCAGTTTGGCAATGACCGCACCAACCGAGTTTAGCAAAAGAAGAGTAATTGGAATGCCAAGTAGACAAAGGAAGATACATAGCATTTGGCCTTCAGGTGTCTTGGGAGTTATATTTCCATAGCCTGTGAAACAGAGACCAGAAACGGAATCAACATGGAAGCTTGGTGGGATGGTCGAACGTTTCCGCTTTTACAAGCCTCAACAATTTCGATCATAACTTTCCGCGATATGGTGCACCACGAGAAATTTCAGAGTCAAACAAAATACAAAGCAATGGCATTTAAGAAATACAAAAGGCGAACCTTGGTTGATTGTTTTAAAGCATGAATACTTATGATGCAGTTACGTTATTGGATCTTCTGACTTATTCCGACTCTAGTGCTGTAGATTCTAGTTACTTATCAGATACATTTTGTAAAAATGACATTTTGCAATAGTTTAGACACATCACATATTTTATCTTACCCACAGTAGTTGTGGCCTGAACTACAAAGATCAGAGACGCTAAAAACGTCCATTTGGGGCTAGGTTTGCTCAACGCCTCAAACGCAGTGCTGGAAAAGTTTTTGAAGTCTTCCTCGGTCATGTTGTACTTAAATGCCATTGCTTTGAACAGAGAAAGTAACAACTGATCTTTCTCTTTCGCCTCATCTTTTTCAGTGTGTTCAACCGTAACAAACAGCCAGGCACTAAGTGAAGTCCACACAAAGAAAGCAACGGTGCGAAAGATCATTGTTTTAAAAAGAGGATCCATGGCTGAGAAACTACACCTGCAAAACATTTTACCAGCAATATCAGTACAAACCTCTATGTCAACAAGACTCCATGAGGTGCATTATCACATCAATACTGCAAAACCAGAGATAAAATTATTGATGTGCGGCTTATAGATGGTCGATGATTAATCATTAGGTATTTGCAAATGAAAGCACCTTTTCCATCTAATTACTTCAGGTCGGAAACAGCAGGTGCTCAATCCACATGGTAATTTTAGGGTGATAAAGTAATCGTTTCATCGTTCTAATTCTGTAAAGTCCACAGTAACACTCGCAGTCATTTTTAAACACTAGTGAAGACTGGAAGACTGATCTTTGCCGGTATCTTTGCGTACTCAGTTAGACAGCTAAATTAAATTGTTGACACTTCTTGATGGAAATTCTTCATCTACCTCTGACTTAATAAATAGCCTCTTTCTCCTCTCTTTTACAGATAACATACTCAAATGCTATGGCTTTGTTAATCTGCTTCATTTTATACTGAAACAGAAACAATTTTGCATAGAATATTTTGATTTCAAGGTACTTTGTTGTGGGAGAAATTACAAGAATATAAATGTGCCTTTCTTTACGAGGACTTACGAGAAGTCCAAGTGAAGCTGACAATCAAATGACATCCTGACATACCTTTTTGGTTTTTTTGGTATTGGTGAAAAACATCTGGCTTTATTCAAATACGATATACTCGATTTGCATTTAGGCTTAAATAATTAGTCTGCCTTCTTAAAAGAAAATAACTCCTAATAAAACGAAGAAATGATTTTGAATGCTGTAAATTCGTCTTTCTATAGTTGTTTACTATGACTGTAATGGAGTCTATGCAGCGCTTGAACGGTTTGATAACGCGAAGGCAAAATTCTTACTGACCGCATTTACTCAAATACAGACTTACCTGAATGTTGTATCAACGCTTTCACATCAGTTTTGCTATTCAAGGGAATTTTTTAGCACCTTATGTTAGTTATAACCGCTGTTTTGGTTACGTGTCTGTTGAAGTAAACGTTTGGTAGCTATACTCAGGGTCTTTCCTTGTAAAGATTTGTCATAATTATATTTCATGGCTTTTTGCATGAATTTCATGCTGTCTCGTGGCAACTGTTTTTACCTTTCATTAAGGATTCAAAAGGCCTACGGGAGATGGCATTCATCTTTACCAAATATTTACAAATCCCCATTCTATGAATATACATTAGCTCTAGATATTTGATATGGCTTTTTTCAATAGTTTAGCTTGGCCGTCGATGAATGCCTGGACATCTTCACTTCTGCATTCTAAGACGTTACCTTGAGAAAGATAAACACCAAATTTTAGTATTCATAGGAAAACTCGTATGAAGTGCAATTGGCACAGTTTCCATTTTATTTCGCAGCGATTGAAGCAAATTGATGCGCAGTTCATTTAAAGGTGCGAGGTAGTAGCTCTCAGTCTGGGATCTATTAGAGTGAAAAAATATCTTCTCTATTTGCATTCCATCGAAACAAAAATTATTACACCCAGCAAGATAGGTTACATTCAGGCCGATAACACTACAGGCAGCCCAAGATGATCATCTCATAGCTGGAGCTTAGACTTCCTGTGGTTACACATCATATATTAGCCAGACGAAGTCACTAAAAAGAGGTTCCATGCTCTACCGGTTTATCACCATGACATCGATCTTCACACCATGGCTTGATTTCAGTTATAATGGTGACATATTTTCATTAGCAAACTAATTATTCATTAAATTTTTCACTGCCTTTCTCACTTTTCACCTGACGCAGACGTTCTCGTCAACATCCCAACGCCACTTTAGTTCTCCCTTGATCACCATTATAGAGTGGGCATTGATTTTTATTGATCAGAAGGCAGACAGCGAAGAATTTCATGGGTTAGTGCATTAAGCGTTGCTCGGCACAAACATGAAAGCATCGGACTGTTCTGATATCTCGAGGTGTGCGTGCATTGACTTTTAATCGCCCAGCGCTCTAGTGGCAAATACTATGAAACCGAAATACAATCCACTCGAGAAATCCATTTTGAGAAAAAAAAAATTTTAATTCTATCTGTGCGCAAATTATTAGTTTAGGATGTGTCTTGTCGTCCTAAACCCAGTTCTAATGCTAAATGTCAGCTAATTCCACTGGGATGTTTGCATCCCTCATATTGAAATTAATTTGCTTTTCGTCAGAATATTCCACATTAAAATCGCGTTCATCAGGAATACTTGTCTGCCTTTCTTCTCCGTCGGGGTCTTTTGGATCTGTTTTCTTTTTCTTTCGTGGAATACAACAAGGGCATGTGGTATGGAATCTTCGCTCTTCCATTAGCGCCGCAATTGCGTTTAGCACACTTGACACAATGCACAACGCCACAATATAATAAAACGCTTTGAGTAGATCTTTGAATATTGCGAAAGTAGTCTGCCTCTGCAGTGCGTCAGATGACTTATTATTGTGAGTTTTAGACCTATTCAAAGATAACTTTTTGATCCTTGTGGGTTTCCAGAGAATGTAGTCACCAAACCCGATTGTAGTAAATGTTACAAACCAGAAGTAGATGCCTTCAACGAAAGACCAATTTGAATCCCTAATGCACAAGGCACTCACCACGATCAAAAGCACCATAAATGAGAACAAGATCACGGCACTCTTCGTTTGCATATGTTTTGGTTCTGGTCTTTTAAGGGGGGATTCTACCTAAAAAAAGTGCATTTTTTCAAATAATTGTAGGAATTTAAGTTTTGGTCACAACTATCTAAAACTATATATCACTGGAAAGCTTATGAACTATATTTTTCAAAAAAAGGTGTTATGTCACACCTGCAGCAAATGTAACCTGACACCGGTCATTTCAATTAACAACTTGTAGTGTCTCACCTATATGTACTTGAGTAAAGATTGTTAGAAACTGTTTCAATGAAATACCAATATTTTGCTGTTATTCTAAAGAATATTGAATACTTGTTGGGATGAGTGAAGGATTTCAAGAATTTTTTAAATTTGACATCACAGCACTGGTGTCAAGTTACACATCTAACACATGATCACTATTTGTTTAATCATTTCTTTAGAAAGACCTCTATGGCATTTTCCTTCACTCATCCCAAATAACTCAATTAGATCAGCAATCCCTAAAAATTTCAGGTCCATAGCTCTCATACTTCTTGAGTAATCTTTTCTCAAGTATTAAAAAATACGTTTTGAGAAAAAAAGGCCTAAAGTTACAAGATTTTAAAATTAAACACCTCCTGTATTCAAATTATGAAGTCAATGAGTAGCCATAAGTTCAAATATAATTAGGATAGGCAAGAGCAAGAGTTAGAATGCCCCAGCTTCATATGAAACATCTTCTTTTTCACGAAGAGCCGCTTCTCTTTGAGTACGGATAAGCTGCAATCCCTGCCGGCGCTTCTTCTCCTGGGCCGTTGCCTGCTTATCAGCTTTCCGAAGCCTTGAATTATCTCTTAGTCGAAATGCATCCTCAGTAAATGCACCTCCAGGAATTGAAAGCCTTTCCATCAATCTTTCTCTGCTTTCTGCACCTCTGTGGAAGTGGCAGACTGCAGACGCAGCAGCACACCGGACAACTTTCACTCCATGGTGTTTATGTTTGGGACACCGGACCCAAACCATTGCGTTGATGCTTTCATTTGGGTTCTGGGTTTTTCCTCGTACACATCTTTCTAAAAGTTTACTGTCACTTAATGACACAAATGTGGGTTTTAGAGTCTCCACGAAGACTTCGGGCAAACAGTCATCTCCTTTGTAGGTACTGGTTCCTGTTGCCTGGTCCTGTTGCCATTTGCACCATGATGAATCACCTGGTGGACAGAAGCGGTGTTGTTTAGCATTGTCAGTTGAATTTACACAGTGATGGAGAATGGCAATAATATTTTTTTTCATAGCATAAACTGCAATGTCAACCTCCCGTTCAGAGGGATTTGCCTTGGTCAAGGTGTTTTGCCGGATTGCTAGGCCATAGTACCTTTGAAGCTGCTTGATCTTTCCTTCTGTAAGCCGGCCACGCCCTCCTATAGGTTTTCCATCAGCAAGTTTACCCTTACTGCATGCCTTCAAATTCATTAAATGTTTGCCCATCCTTTTCTGCACATGGCCTACACAATCCAGTTTAATAACTTCACAGTCATCATAGGCATGTTGAACAGTGTTAAAGGCCTTACTGTCCCCGTCTGACACCATCCATTTGTACCTCATGTTATGAAGTTCGATGGATCTATTCCAAAGAACAGAAGCTCCTTCTGCTTCCATAGCAGGTGAACTTCCTTCGAAGTTGATGTCACAATCTCCAGATGCAACATGCTCCCTCCTCCATTCTTCAAACTCTTCCACATTCCCTTCACATTGTGAGTTCTTTAGGGAGCACTTACGGCAAGATTTAGACATCACGTGATAGTCTAAAACTTCTCCTGTGTCAATTGAGATGACGAAAACAACACCTGTTAGTGATGTGAAACCTCTTTTGGCCCAAGTGCCATCAAAGCTAACAGCAGCATCAATTATTGTGGTGCTGTCTGAGATGCCATTTTCCTCCATGATTAGCTTTCGGAGCCTTTGGCCTGCACCTTTTAGTTCTTCTTTTGCTTCACTTTCCAGTGCTTCCAAAATTACATCAACTTGCTTGTAGTAAGCAGCTCTTGACAAACAAGGCATGTTCATTATCGCACAGAAAGAAGAGAGTCCGTCGTAGCCACTTCCAGTTTCTATTGAGTGGTAGACAGCTCTCCGGTTGACATCAAATGATTTGCCTTTCTTGGCAAGGTTGGGTGATGTCTGCCAAGGAGTACTTTCATCACAAGAATTGCAGTGAATGGAGAGATCTGACATCAGTCCATAACGGCTAGCGGTATTTTCTTCAATAGTAAGGTCTCCTATATTAAAAACATGACGGAAAAGGATGCTATTAGCTATAGTTACTGAACCAAACAGAACCACAATGTTGGAGCATTAGTTCACACCTCCATAAATGTGTACAAGTGTTGCAGTGAAGAAAGATCAGAAAAAATGATTAAACAATAATAAAACTCCTTTTCTGCAAATAATTCTAACTATCGTTTTTCTTTAGGTTCAAGGGGCTGAAAAGCATATTTATGATGTGTGATATTTTTCTCACCTTCTTCGCATTTGTGTAAAGTTGAGAGCACAGAAGAGAAGCTCTTTAGATCAACGAGCCTGTATCCTTTTTCTACCTCAGCTACCTCGAAAACTTTTTTGTTTTCATCAGAACTTGAAGAAGACTCATCTTCTGAGCTCTGGAATCTCATCTTCTTCCTTGAAGAACTAGGAAGCTGATCGCTTTCTTCGCCAAAATCTGACAGATCAGACTGATCGTGCGAAGTTCCTGGGGTCGGTTCGTTTGGTTCACTCTTCCTGTTGCAACCGCTTTTCTTCAGTAATTGCGCTTTTTTACGATCTCCTCCATGCCCCTTTCTTTTCCTAGTTTTCCTGTAAACGGTTCTTTTCTTCTTTCCAGTCATTCCAGCACAAAAGAGACAAAAGGAGTTCAATATTTCGCAATACACTGTGACAACTTTCACACAAAAATCTCTCACTCGTCTCCAGTGTTACTCTTTCAATTTCTTATTTTCCCCTTCATGTAAGACAGCACAAGGATTCTAAGGGGCGTTTCGGGCTTGTTTGACATATTTTGAGCTCCAAACAGGCTGGTAAACAAGTAAGAAACAAAAAATGCTGTTTTGGTTGCCATGGAAACGAGATTTCTATTTAGATACCTCTTCTTTTCTAACGTAATTTCTCATTTATATTTTAAAATTTTTCGGTAAAAACGATCGTCAGTGTAAAGTCGAATAGTTGAACCTCGCATTTCTGAAGAAAACAAAAAAACAATATTTTGAGCTAATTTCAGGTAGAATCCCCCCTTAAGTATTTCCTTTTCAAACTTCCAGACGATTGTGTGGACCCATTTGGCAATGAGTTCGCCAATGGATTTCAATGTGAGCAAAGTAATGGGGACCCCGAGTAAGCATACCAAGATACACAACATCTGCCCCGTGGATGTCTGAGGAGTGATGAATCCATATCCTGTAAAACACAGATATCAGCAAAGATTAAAAAAGGTACTTTCATAAGCCCAGTAGGATATGGTGTACTCCATGAGAATGTAAACTTAATATATTCTCTCGGTGTACTCCCTTTGGAAGGTATTCCACTCAATAAAGATGCTGAAATTCAGTTTGTTCGGACTTTAGAAAAAAAGCCATCACAGTATTCTTTTTCTCGATTCTTTGTTATTTACACTTATTTTAGGAAGAGTTCTGAGAATTGAAGAAAGTTACCCGAATTAAAGGAAAACATTTATTGCAAATCAAAGGTGACCACCGAGTAGTTCGGAGAGAGAAAACTCCGTGAGTGACTAACTCGAGGGTGTCATTGGGGTAATGGCTTTGACGGCTAACGGTTAAAATTTGGCCAGTTTACGGCTAACGGTTAATGTCTTTCCATTGCGGTCACCGGAATTTGTTTTAACGTCTGCGAGGAAAGTTCGCGAGAATGGATAGGATTCCTCCTTTTTCTCCTTCGTTGCGTATCTCGATTCTTTCCAATCTCTCTTGCGATTCTTAGGATCAATAACTGACGACTGAAAGCTAAGAAGACTCATTTATAGCGGAGCTCGCAGAGCGTAGCCCCATATTTATACAAAATAGTAATAACCCATCAAGCCGAAAAAATTTGGATGTCCTACGACCGTACGACCGACCGTACAAGGTGCTACTTTTAGCATGCGCGGCCAACTGTACCACGGGCACTATCTTATAATCAGTCCTCTACACGGACACGGAGAAGTTGCGAATGAAAACCATTAATATTACCACGCACTTTATCCATAATAGGAGCTTAAGTTTTGTTGAAGAGACGTGCGGGAAAAAAAAATGTGAGCTCCGCTTTTAGGCTTGCCTAAATCTATACGTCATAGTCGAGTATTACTAATGCAAGTTTTCCTCGATGAAATTGGAGGCCTTGACAGATTGTCACCCCAAAACACCACTATGAAAAGACTACTGAAATAATCTTGTGCAAGGCTACACTTCACTCTGTGGGAAAACACTTGAAAAGAGATCTTATATGCTAATAGGGCGGCAATTTCATCTAAATGACTTTGTTTACTTCAAAGACTTATGATAATATATTGAGGAGATTTTTAGAAAAAATAGTCGCAATCAAGACGTTTTTACATCTCTCTTTCTGTAAGCTTTTTTCAACATAAAACTGTTGTTTTGGGAATGATAATGATGCTTTTAGGGAAAGGTGTTTAGAATTCACAAATAAATTTTCGTTATTATGAATAAATTTCATTTTTAGATCGATGTCTGTAGTCCATCTCGCTTCAAAGTGTACCGTTGGCATTTAAGCAGTCGGAGAGAATCTGCAACGAAATGGACTTGAAATTACGCCTGAGGTTTCAATTTCCTTTAACGTTAAGTCGGCGGATTTTAAACACTGCGAGAGAGTGCGTCTGTTTTGTTTTTTAACTTTGACACTTTGTGTCTGGTCAGTTCTATTTAGAATTTAATTTAATTAATGAACGTACAAAAAATAGCACACTTTGCTTGCAAGGTCAACTGCATAAATGGCAATTTCTATTTCACTCAGGTTGGTCGGGGTCGATTGTAGAGGTGACATTACTGTCACCTTCCTGACTCGTTTTGACGCCAAAGAGACCTCGTAATGTATTTGCATAATTGAAAATCAACTGCTGGTAAATGTCGAAGTGACTTCAACCCAGCTTTGCATCTATCGATGGTGATTTGCTGTCATCAGCTGAGATGAATAGCAGTGCTGATGCCTCTTTCTATCCAGTGAAAAACTCGTTAAAATTAGTTTGTTCTTATGATGTGTATCAATTTGATTTACGACTACTGACTTCTTGGGGAGTTAGCTGGTTAGTCAGTTGACCTATGAGCGAGTTAGCATATGTGTTAGTACACTGCAGGCCAGTTATGCGAGCAAGTTGACCCATATGAGAATTCGACCATGAGCAACTTTACTTCTGGGTGAGTCAACCCATTACACTAGTGATTCGAGTTGTGGGCGGGTTGACCTGTTGGTGAATCGAGGTGTAGGCGAGTTGACCTGTTGCGAATTAGTTTGTGAGTAAGTGAACTCTTGCGCTGGTGAAAAATAGTTACTTCAGTTCATTTACTCAGCCACTGATGTCATGTTATCTTTGTGAAATCCATAGTTATTCATGCTCAAGTAAGTCGCGTTGGCTTCGCCTTCCGTTGGAGTGTAATCGTCAATGTTCCCTTGATGCTGCGTTTTTCGAGGGATACATCCGGGACACGGAGGTCGACACTTATATTCTTCGAGGGCCATCATAATGGAATTAAGAACACTCGAGACGACGCACAAGCCCAAAATTAAATAAAATGTGAGAAACAGGCCTTCGAAAATAGCAAAAGTGGTTCTTTCTCCGTCGCTTGGTTTATTGTCGTTGTCTTCGTGTGTAAAGTTATTTGGAGTTAATTGCCTGATCCTTTGTGGAATTTCTGGCACGTAGTCACCAAATCCGATTGTAGAAAATGTTATGAACCAGAAATACGCACTCGTGACAAAAGACCAATTTAAAAAATATACTAGCAACAGGCTGCTTAACACTATCAACAATAACATCATCATAAACAGAATTAGAGCACTTTTTGCTTGCAACTTTTTGGGCTCAGGCCTCTTTAAGATTTTCCTCTCAAACTTTGTAACAAATGTGGCCACACCTTTGGCGATGAGTTCACCGACGGACTTAAATGCGAGCAAAGTGATGGGAATCCCCAGTAACGAGACGCAGATGCAAAGCAATTGACCTGTCTGCGTCTGGGGAGTGATGTATCCATAGCCTATATGAAACGGAAAAAAAGGAACAAATAGATCGGTGTAAAGATATTAAACGAATGGTTTGTGCGCTTGACTTCAGACCATATGTCAGTGATTATTGTGTTGTGTTATTCTATAGTAACTCGTTCCTCTGGAGTATAAAACAGGAGAACTTGACTAATTACTAAGGGTACTGAAAGTTGTCTGCAATGGATTAACATCCCACCCATGAGTAGAAGCAGCACTCTCAGCGCCTTTAAAGCAGTTGTCAACTGAAATTTTGCTCATTATGCTCTGTGATTGGTCTAGAAAACTCGCATCAACCACTTAGTCAGTCAGTTGCAAAAATAAACCCAATCGCGACTTGGTCACATGCGTTTCCCCGCGCTTCATGCAATTTGCTTGTTATTGCTTCGAGTTATCATCGTTATTTTTCCTTTTTTCGGATAAGCTGTCTAGTTTCACCCAATTGAAGTTCGCTTTGTGCCATGAGAAAATTAGGGCTAGGCTCACCCGACAGAGAGGAGTTGTGGGCCAGTAAGCGTGTGAGACTCAATTTACTTCGGGAAAAAATTGTAGGAAAACTTCATGTACCACCTTATAGAGGCGAACTTGCGGGATACATTCTACAACTTATTGTATACTTCGGCTTACCAATGGTGGTCAAAGACTGAAAAACAAAAGCCATTGCATTGGAGTATGTCCATTGTATCTTGGGCTGGCTCAAAGCCTCGTATGCGGAATTGGAGATGTTATTAAACTCCTCTATGCTCATGTTGTATTTAGACGCGAGAAACTCGTACAGAGAGAGCAACAACTGATATTTTTCTTCTTTTTCGTCTGCTTCCTTGTATTCGACCACAACAAACAACCAAGCACTGAGTGAGACCCAAAGTAAGAAGCCAAGAGTTCGAAGAAGCACTGCTTTTACCAGGAGGTTCATTGTAAGTCTTAACAACTGCAATAGCTGAAATGAAGAAGCATAAGTTTTGAGTACCATACAATATTTGATGAGCTGGAGTAAGTCCAGCCAAAATATTCAATTTAATTAAATGAGATTGAGTAATTAACCAGGTGTAAATTTGCAAAGTTTTACACCATTGTGACCCATTGTGGGTTTAGTGACTGTTTACGTTTTATTAAGGTTCAGTTGCCGTTGCACATCCTTGTTTGAGTTACTTTTGACTTCTAAGTTTTTATTGCGGCTGAAAAATTACGACAGTTTTTTCATGGCATTTATAATTTTCCAGAGTGTTAATTACCTGTACTATGACTGACGTCCACTTCCAGACGCTCCTCGTTAAATCAACATTTTGGCGCACGCCAATGGAACCTGTCTCTTTCATTTTTTTCCTTTTTTCAAATATACTCAAATCGTTTTTAAGGGGATAAAATTTATACACCTTACATTTTTCCATTCAATTCAGAATGTGTCAAAATTATAGAGGCTTTAGATTAGGCTTTCAGTTGTTTTCATTTGTGTCCTCGATCAAAACTTTCAATTAAATGATATTTGAGTGAAATCCGGAGAGCTTGGGAGCCGCAGGCAGGGAATAAGCTGAGTATTAATAGCTACATGTGCGTAAATTCATCGGAAGAGCTTTCTCATGGCTGTAATTTATTTAATACAGTTCACAGTTACCATTGTTTGCATGGAATCGATTCGCAATGCAGGGGATATGTAGATTTATTGCCTTTGTAACTTAGTAGAATTAGAACGATCGGATCAATAGGGAATTCCAAAATTATACTTATATAGAATTGTTTCATGCATAAAAAGTTTTCTTAAGCTGCTTTCACCTAAACACCATGGCTGGAGAGATACCGGCAGTTATCGGTCGAAGCTTCCCAAATTGGTTGAAGTTCCTTCTGAAGCTCACTTTCATAAACAAAGCTACTGAATGTCACTTGCATTCATAATTTATCGACACTGATGGCTTTTTTAATCCAGAGCAGAATTCTGCGTTAGTTTTGAGTTTCAAAATCGAGTTATCTTGAAAATTTAGGGAAACAAAGTTGATAAGATACACTGCGTCTGAGAGACGCATAACGATCTTTGTCATATTTCAACCAGTGTGAACGCATTTCCACCCGATGAAGCTAGAAAGTTTATACTTCTTTCTTGACACTCACCTTTCCACAATTAAAAAACGTCGGAGTTTGTGCCCAAGTTAAACGCTTATAAGTCCCGTAGCTGACTGATAAGATAGTGGCCTGCCATTAACAACGGTAATAAAGGTTCATATAAGTTATGAGGTTGCCATCACATTATTATAGAAAAGTTTTCTCTAGGTTCAAAACGTGTGCAAACGACCTTGCACCAATTAACAGTAGAAAGAAACTTCACCTACAGTACGATGCACGAAAGAGATCTCGTTAGCAGAATTGCACAACAATGTCAAAACATTACCTTTAGGTTATTTCAGCCCTGCAGCTGCTGTAATTTTGCATTTCAAAGGTAGCGTACATGACAACAAAAACTACATGTTTTAGCAATTAGGTGGAAAACATTTATCTGCTCGCAGCTGCAATGTCCTTGAAAATTCAAGGATTGACTACTGATTTATGCTGGCAGAAGATCCTAGATCCAACAAGGAATATTTGAAATGTTTATGTTTGGCCATCGGTGAGATAAGTTTGACTCATGATTCGAAAATGAAGGATTATCGCGAGTAAATGTTTGCGCCAAATAAGTTAATGTTTTTGAAAACACTAGAAATTTTCATTAACAAACTTTAGATGGGGCAACAGAAGTTAATGTACTAATTTATGATATGTCTCGTCTGCACAGAAGAATCGAGAAAGCCTGATACATATTTTATTTCTTTCAAAATCGTCCAAGATTATGTAACAACTTGATTGCTGAAGAACGCTAATAGTTGCTGTGATCAGGCTCATCAAAGACGTAATAGCTGTAATTTTTAAAGTGGCGGGATTTTTAAGGAACTGAAGAACCATGCTTAACCATAGCGTAATTAACTTTGAATCACTTTTTCTAAATAAAAAAAGCCATTTCTGCTTTGAACCGCTTCAAGCAATGGAGATTTTTTCCAATCCAAAGCAAGCCTATAACGGATCTTATTGCGGCTGCTTTTTTAAGGAAAAAAGTTGTACTCTCCTTGCACTTATGTATGTTTATTTTCATCTTTAGGACATTTCCTCATCTAGTACAATACTTAACAATTGGTGTCTTGCTCGACAGAACTAATGATGTGATACCATAGATAATCTCTACACTCTAAGTAGTTGTAAGTAGTAACACAGGCCTATTTTAGCTGGGAGTAGGAAAACGTGTGTGCTCGGCACTCATGTTTCAAACTTACACCAAACGTTCTAAATACGCATTTTACGGAGCAATATGCTCCAGAACTGTTTATATCTGCTATTAGAAGGTTTACCACCTAAAGCAGCTAAACAAGTCTTCATTTATTACCATAAGATTAGTTTGGTAGTTTAATTTGTAAATTAGGCAATGGTTGTGTAGGGGTTGGTACACAAATTGTTACTTCAATTCAAACTTTGCCGAAAACGGCATGACTACTATACATAAAACTTGAACACTTAGACTTCTCCTTTAGATTATGCGTCACTTAAGTTCGGTTTCCGAGAAACATACGAAGTTAGTTTTCTTTTGAAAATCATGAGTTCCAAAGGATGAAAACACCGTGTTATTTTCACGCATCTCAGTAGATTCGCTTTGTTCTTTCTCCGCGTGGTCCTGGGTCTTTGGAGAGATACATCCGGAACACGGAGGGTGGCATCTCCGTTTTTCCATGACAGCCATGATAGAATTGATTACACTGGAGACGATACATAACGCTAATAAAGCAGGGAACAAACCGACAAGAACGGTAATAATTTTACTTGTGCTTCTCTTACTGCCTTCATTTACAGAGATGTTCAGAGAGAGCTGTGTAAACTTTCGGGGCTCCCGTAAAACGTAGTCTCCAAATCCGATTGTGGTAAATGTCACAAACCAGAAATAAACACTTTCAACGATAGACCAATTGCGGAGAGGCATCGATAAAAAACCGGCTGTAAGAATCGAAATTACCATGATCGAGAACAGGACAATCGCAGTCTTGATCTGCATATGCTTTGGTTGCAGCGTCTTGAGGAACTTCTTTTCAAACTTTGTGATGATTGTGTTCACCCATTTGGCAATGAGCTCGCCCATGGATTTTAACATAAGCAAAGTAATGGGAATTCCAAGTAAAGAGATGAAAATGCACATCACTTGGCCAGATGGTGTTTGCGGAGTGATGTTACCATAACCTGTAGAAAAAAGTGTAAAGATCTTATGCACATTGCTATCTTTTCACTATTATCTCTATAACTATTTTCATTTTCCGGAACCTTTTATGTTGCATCCCAAGACTCGGAGTTTGAATTTGGTCATTGTGGTACAGATGCTTGTTTATCAATTAAAGAAAGATCATTGTTCAGTATATGTTTGTTCGGCGCTTCAAATATATCATTTTAATTTTTCCTGTAGTTTCTTATTCTTTTGATCATAAACATAAGGTCAGAATCGTTTTGCTATGTTTTCTTTTGGTGATAGTTTTTTCTTCTGCAATCTTTCGTTCAACAAACGCCCATGTATATTTTCTTATGAGCGGTGGTTTAAAAAAACTCGGTATTGAGCCATCACCGCTGATTCGAAAGGATTGTACTCAACAATCTAGTTTCTGTTTGTTTGTTTACTTTTTTAACGAAGCATTTATTTCTATAACACTGATCAAAGCTGAGAAAAATATTGCTGAAATAATTTCACGTTTTGAATCATTTCAGTTGAGATCGGTAGTCTACTGGGTGTACGGTATCACTTTCCTCACCGATCGTAGTCCAGGCGTGGAATATGAACCGTATTGCGTCCAGATAGATCCATTGCGGTTTAGGCTCGCTCAAGGCCTCGTGTGCTGTTCTCGAAATATTGTTGAACTCTTCAATGCTCATATTGTATTTAGACTCCAGCGACTCATAAAGCGATAACAATAACTTGTATTTTTCCTCTTTTTCATCCTTTTCCTTGTACTCAACCGCAACAAACAGCAGAGCACTAATCGAGCCGAGCAACCAGAAGACTAGACAACGAAGAAGTGCTGTTTTTAATAGCGGGTCAAAACTCATCTTTTTCACCTTCTTCACCTTCTTTGAGGCGATTGACTGTAGAAAGAAAGTAACAAACACATTATGAACTATGATTTGACTTTTTCGGCATGTGGTCCGGAATGCAAATCATTTAGATCTCTTATTAAACTGGTGATTACCCAATCATTAGTTTGACCAAGTAGGCTGTCGATCATCTTGCGTTCAATCGCGTGTGGAGCTTATATTTTAAAATTGGTCTCCAACCTCTTTAAAGCCTCCAAACAGTTTTAATCATCTTTTCAATTACTTACAAATAAGCTTTGGATTGTTTTAGTTTGAATTCGTGTTTACCCTCGTACAGTGAAAAGAAAGAGGAGTATTGAGCTAACACCAGAAACTCTCTCGTTCTCACTGTTTGTAAATTCGGTCAAACTCATTCAGTTTCCATGCTATTGTTGTTACCTTTCAAAACCATCCTTGACTACCTAGGTATAGACTTAGCCACATACCTCGGTATAGTTAAACTACGGTCCATTTAAACTAAGTCATTAAATCGGTTGGCTCGGACTGCCTGCTAATGTACATATATGTTTCGGGGCTCCGTTTGTATTGAATCATTGGGAATCTCAGCGGGCATCCAGTTTCTTGTGAGCATAGTGAATAATGATTAGATAAAAATTGCCTTTTGCGGGTCGTTGCTATCATTTTTTGTGCGTCGATAACGTTTCTATTACCGGGTGTTAAGATGAATGAGATCACTAATTTAAAAATAGTTTACTTTAATGAAGAAAGGAGTGACAGTTAAGAGTCTAAAGAAGCCAGAAAGAATATTTAAAATCGACAAGAATGACC